AGTCTATTATTTTTTACAAACTCTACTCTATCGTGCACAGACATTCTTTTGAATTGGGGGCAAAATTGCAAAGCATGAGACTCATTGTTTTTACATAATACACAGTTATCATTTTTTATTTCAGATAAAAATACATTTGTTGCTCCTCTCTGTACACTCGAATTATTAACTCTATTTTGTTTATTAAATTCGTAACGCTTAGTATTTCCACTGAAAGATTTCGAAAATGTTTCATTTTTGCTTTTGCCTTTCGAAGATAAATAAATATCACACTCACGCCCCAATTCATGTGGTTTAAAATACTTTTCTCCCTGTTTTACACTAATATGAGTCATCAATTCTCTATCGAGAGTACTCATTATTTTATCCGATACTATTAACTCACAGACGGATTTAAAATCATTTACATTACGTAATTGACAATAATATTCAAACGTCGCACTTAGCCTTGACGCAAATTGTACATAATTCTCTGAACTTATTTTTTGTGCTCTTTGGAATTTATTAAAGCATTCTTGTGGTGTAGGGGAAAATTCTTTTAGCACTAAATCTTTGAGTTTATCGTAATTAGTTAACTCTTCTTCGGAAATGTGAACCATTAAATTGTTAGCTCTCTCACCTAAAATATTTAAAAGAATTTCACATTTAAATTGCTCGGGAACATATTTTTTTGTATCATTTTAAAGTATCTAATTCCACATGGAAAATACAAAATTTGAGCGAAATTGGTTGATTAGTTCTTGAGAAATTGAGTTTTATAAGTACGACTTCTTTAAAATTTAATTTCTCAGGATTAATCAATTTCGCTGAAATTTTTTATTTTGCCATGTGGAAAACTTACAATGTTTTGTTATCCAATTTATATACGAACAAATAACTTGTTTTCATAAACATATTCGCGAACATAATACATAAATAGCGAAAATGACGATTAGATTAGAGTACTGAAAGTTTTTGAAAGGGCCTCCGCCAAAAATTTTTGCCCCAGGGCCCCGAGGGGTGAAGTTACGGCACTGATTACAGGGACTGCAGACTAGAATAAGCTACTAAGCTTTTAATTGGCACAATACTGTGCCACTTAAATTTATATTGCAGGCTAAAGCTTCTCAAATTTATGCTTTATCTGTACCAGTTAGTTTAAAAATATATTTCTTTTAAATAAGTATTTTTTTTAAATCTCGATTGCCCCCATCCATAATCACATGTCTTTTTTAGAGGCAGCATTTTTTGAAATCAAGTCATTTTCAAATGAAGTAAACAAGTCATTTCTTGAAAATGGCATAAAGTAAAGAATTATTTCATAAAAAAATTCCATAAGATAATGAAATGCTTATTTAAACGTATAGACACTTTGAAAAAAATAAAGAAATTAAAAAAAAATGTTCATGCACACACACACACACATATATATACTATAAATCTTGAAGATGAAGTAGTTTTATGGACTTCACATAAATTATTTATGTTTTAGATGAAATCATAACTGAAAAAAAAAAGGATATGTGAAAATCAAAATTATTTGAAAGTCCTATTCATTACCGATTTTAATAATACTTAAAAAAAACAATAAGGATAACATAATACCTCAGCTACGTTTTTATAAAATTATATTAAAAATCAAACCTGTATTATAAGTAGGAGACAGTAGGGGAAATATTTCGCCAGACTCTTCGACAGATTCATTTAAGCTGAAGTTAGTTAAATCCCAAAGCATAACAGCACCATCTACCTTCAATAAAACTATATTAAGTATTTTGCTGTCTTAAAACTGATGAAATGAATAAAATTAAATTATGTATCCAAAGAAAAGATTTTTCAAACTAGTTTTCAATAAAAGCTTTTAATGTTCATGAATGATAGTCTGTAAACAAAAGTTTATGAACAAGAAGGAAAAAAAACATTGAGAAAAGGAAAATCAAAAATTTATTTGAAATTATAAAATAGGATTTTATTAATATAGGATTAGGACAGAGGATTTTATCTATTGATAATTTTTTTTTCTTATTGTCAAAAACGTAATTGCAAGTGTGGGGGGTGGGGTAGAAATACTTTACTTCATCACAACTTCCTCATGGTTTGATTTCTAGCCCTGTCATTAATGATAATTTTATTTTTGGCATTAAATTTCTTAATTTCTCCTATAATATAGAAGTAAATTGCTCCTTTTTACATTTTAAGGGTTAATCCAAAACTTAATGAGTTTGAAATAAATTAGATTATTTTGCATGTACACATCAGCATTGTATGCATTCATTTCCTAATTGGAATGCAATAGCTCACTGATAATGCAAATACTATGGACAAGACAAAATCATGCATCCCACACATGTATTATCCTTTTCTTTCACACAGACTCAACTTACTCTGACTGTTTGAGTAGATTGTGCAAAGTTTTGAAGAATCTGGGCAATAAATTGTTTCTCTTTGGGTAAGGTTAAATTCCTCTCTGACATTTTTTAGGTTCAAAAAAGGTAAAGTAATCTTATTTTTAAGAAAAAAGTAAGAGATTTAAAAAAAATGAGTAATTGGCAACATTTAGCTTTGAGATACAGCGAACTTGTATCTGGAAATGAATATTTTTTTACAGATAAAATGTAATACACACAATCATGACTTATTTTAAATAATTCAATATTTTATTAAACAATTTCTAATCCATAATTTACTTTATTTTCTAAACACTCCACACCTTGGGACAAAAGTGTACTCAAATTTCTGATTAACGCACTGTTCTCATTGAATGATACAGAGAATACTCGGTGTAAGATGCAAGAAAGCCCAGATCTGAAAGTTCGAATAAGCCAGTGTTAATGCTCAGAGAGTTGAACACTGGATGATGAAATTGAATTATTAACTGTGCATTGAACGATATGGCATTACATTAGGTAAAACTAAAAATGCGTCTTTTTTTTAAGAGATATATTTTATTTGTAATATTTACGTGTTATATGCTGTAATGATTATTTTGTTAATATTCAAGCTTTAAAATTCAATAATATTAATCAAATTCAATATTTTAATAGGTGGGGAAAAAAGATTCACAAAATATAAATCACACATTAACTTGATTAACACATTAACTTATAAAACTTATACTTGATTAACACATTAACTTATAAAACTTATACTTGATTAACACATTACTATACTTCAAAACTTATAAAACATCATTTTATGATTTATTTAAAAAATAAATTTTCACCCTCACAATTGCTAATTTTAATACAATAGAATTTTTAGCAAAAGAATTATGTTTGAAAATTATGAACAATTTTCATAACTTTTGCTGATTTCTATAATACTACAAAAAAATTACCATTCCTGCAATAACAATATCACTTGTACCAGGTCCAAAAGTACCACAAATTGGCTGACTGTTTGCCATCAAAATACTATAAAATAGAAAATAATAAAATTAAATCAGTAAAGGCTAAAACAAAAAATTGATATAATTTGTTAACAATAACATTCAGTTATGAGCATAGATACTTTCTGTTCAGGTTTCTTACTGTTGAAGACATTCCAAATGCAAATTATACCCTTTTCTTCCTCAGTATTGGTTGATAATGGTAACTAAAAGAAAAATTAAAACTGAAACTCAAATTTAATATCTCTGTTTATAATAAAGAAAAAGAATGCATAGTACATACCTTAATCATATTCCCATGTATGGTGAATACATAAGGAAAAGATGAGGAAGAAGCATGCATGTTAACTATTGATGTATCTATAAAGCAAATAAATTTTAATCCTAATACTTCAAATTTACGAAACAGTAATTTTTAGATATCACTAAAAATAATGCACTTAAAATAGAAATATGTTAATGTTGATCCCTTTTGTATGAGGTTTTATGTTCTCTGATATTAAAACTTTCATACGTAATTATTTTAGCCAATTCTAGATATTAGTCACCCGATTTTAAAAATTATCAATTTGGTGACATTTTTCCACTTAGATGAGAATTATCAAAATCTCTGCCTTATTCTTAATTTGTGCAAATTTTCATGAGTCCAGATAATACAGCATTGGAGTAAGTTTTAAAATATTAAAAAATTAGACCACAAAAGCCGTTCATTTTCACAAAAGTGCGGCTTTTCAGCACATTTACATTTTGCGCTTATTTCAAAATAAGCATAGAGAGCGATGGCTACAGATAGGCTAAACTTGACCTAACAATCATGAGTAACTATTGAAAACTCGCAACAGCTATAAAAATAATGCATTATTAGCAAAAAGCATCATTTCATATGGCAATGGAGCCTTCAAAAACAGAATTAAGCAGATCAAATACTGATGATAAGCTAGAACTGTCTTAAAACGAGTGTTTTAAAACCATGTTTAAGATATTTTTGTCTAATAAAATCAGTAAGGAAGATCCACTAAAGAGAGCTTAAGTGACAACTAATCACGTCTTAAAAATATTGAGAAAAAATATAACAGCTCTTTCTCTTTCCTGGGCTCATGATAGCAGAATGAGAATGGGGAAGCGAAGATGATTTTGTAGAAATAGGTTACTAAATATTTAAAGACTAACAGTGACGGGATCAGAAGATACAATTTTTAGAGACAGAAGAGGGGTAAGCTGGATGCCTTTTTGCCAAACAATGTGAAGAGTTTAAGTTAGTAAGTAAAAATAACACACAATAGTGTTTCTGAATATAAATATTAATTTTGTGACATAATTTAAAAAAAAACTATTTCTTCTATTCACCAAAATCGGAAATTTATATAGCCTGGGTTGATGTCATTTACAAAATAATATTGGTCATAGAGGCAAATGTATCATTTAAAAAGTATAAAATTTCTAAATCTTAGGATGGCATAGAAGAATTAAGACAAAACCTTTTTGGAATTAAACTGAAGAGCAAAAGAAAAATGTTGTAAGCCAATATAATTTATTTAAATTCTTAAAAATATTATTCACCTATGAATGATGAATGAAAGTAATTTTTTAAAAGTTCAATAAAATTAAATTCAAACTATAATTGACAATTTCTGACAAGTGATAAAATCTTGTAAGTCAATTAATATGCAATTATTTTCTTCTTAAGGATTAACAATTGTTCAGATGCATAAAAAGAATTTTCTGGGCATGAAATACCTTTTTACACACTGTTATAAAAAAGCATAGCCTCTTTGTGGAAGAATATTTTTTCTTTATATCTTACTTTTAAGTACAATTTTTATTTAAATTTTATCAATGGCAGTGCCTATCAAACATTTGGTTGATATATGAAATGATTTGATTAGTATATGAATGAATAGCAAAAAAAAAATCTACATGATAAAGACTTTTTTCTACTTATTGAACATAAAAAAGTTTTTAGGTATGTTCAGAAGAGAAGTGTTAATTTTCTAAAAAATTTTATTAATAAATTAATAATATAAACTCAGCAAATATTCTAGTAAATACATTGGAAAGAATATATATATATATTTAAAAATTTGATAATTATCATAACGTTCAAAATTTTTAATATTCAAATGGAAAACAAAGCAGCATTTTTTTAGTAGTTTTCTATTCAATTCCATGAAAATTAACATACAAAATACTACTGAAAAATTATGAATTGTGCGTGAATAGTTTAAAACAAAATGTTTGAGCAGCATTATGTTCAGTAGTGTTTCACTCAATTTTATGACAGTTCATAAAATATAGTTGCTAGCTTAGTAATGGATTAAATTCGGAAAACTTGCTCTAGATAATGTTTTGTTTTTGCAATTTTGGAGCATTGAAAAGCAAAATGAAATGGTAGTTTGCCTGACATTGTAGTGGCATCTAGTCACTGGTGGTGAGAAAGAAGATATTTTGTGTGTCATAAGAAATAAAGAATAATCTCTAGTGAAATGGAATGTATTTGAGAACACTACAAATGAATAACTTAATTTTGAAAAAGTAGATATTTTACAATAGACAAGTATAGAATTATAAAAAAAAGTTACTGCATTTAAATAAAAAATATTGTAATGAGTCTTTATGTTTGTATTTATAACACATTACAATTTTTCTGCAGCAATTAACACACGTTCAGTTTTAGGACTTATAAAACATTTGTCCTCTTATTTTTTATTAAACAAATTTAAAGAACGAAAAAAAGTCTATTAATAACAATCCAAAAAAAACAGCAAATGTAATAATAATAATAAATGTTTAAAATTAAAACCTGAAACTACAGGTTCTACTTGTATCATATCTATGTGACAAAAAAAAAAAAACTTATAAAGTAAAACTAGAAAATTTTTATGTATTTTTTAATACAATTTGGAAGATAAAAAAAAAACAAATGTAATAATAATAATTGGTATTTATAAAGAAAATTTGAAAATAAAGATGTATAGCAATGGATAAAATATAATAATCTATGTGCTTCAGAAAAAGCCAATAATTTGAAAACAAAACGAATATTCTAGAATTTTAGTATTTTTGATAGATAACATAAGAAATTATTAACTTAAACAGTAAAAGCTTTTATGAAATTAAAAGAAAAATAATGAAATATAAGAAATAGTACCTTTTAAAAAATCCAAAGGTGATAACAAGTAGTATCCTTCACTTTGGAAAAAATTCTGTCTTTTCTTTGTCATAGATTTCTGGTTGTTAGAAAATTCTTCATCGAGCAAAGTTAATATAATCTACAATTAGTGTAACAGCACATTGTTAATATTTCATATATTACAGTCATCATATTAATGAATTCAGAACAAAAATGTTTTATAATAAAAAGTCATCTTATTCATCAATTTCACATGCCCCATATACTTTGTGTGTCATTCTGCTCTAAATTTGTTTTAGGATTTCAATTTCTTACAATTGTATTTTCAAAGAATTGTTTTTAGGTCATAAAGGTTTGAAAGTAAAAAGCATTATTTTGCATTTATAAACATTTCAATTATAAAAAAAGTTGCATTTAGAAGGAAAGGCCAAAAATACAGAACATAAAAATGAAATAACAGCAGTAATGTATTAAGTAAGTGTTATCTTTAACAAATATTGTCTATGATGCCTATTCTAAATTCTTAAATCCCACAGAGTTAAAATTTTATTGATTTATTAAAGGAAAAACTGCTTTAGAATACAATAATATAAATAAGTATATAGGTCAAGTGGCATAAAAGTTTTAAGTTTATTAATTAAGTTATGCATTTGACACAAATTATACTTTCAAACCACTCGTCTAAAAATGAGAAACTATTTCAAATATATCATAATATTTTGTATTACATTTTGCACCATATTTAACAAAATTCTAGGCTAGTACAGTAAACTGTTGCAGATATTTATAATTATTAATGACTCAAAATAATTAAAAGCAAAAAATCTTAATTATAAGTCTCAAAATACAATATCTTTAAAAATGTATATATAAAAGAAAATTAATTAAAGATTTTACATGGCTACTTCTCTGTAAGAAACTATTCAGCTTAACTGAATGAGGATTAAAAAGCAATTTCCAATTCATACTTTTATCTTCCATGGGTAAGATTCTATCACCTAAAGAATATCAGGCATCAATAACTAACATGTATATGGGATACTGTCAAACATTAGTACATTTATGGAGTTATTATCGATACATCAAAAATTAAAACTACTGATATAATGAGAAATTAGTTACAACTTACCACCATGTCCTCTAGTTCCATTTAAAGGATTTTGAGTCCATTTATTAAGTGTTTCTACTTCATCAGTTTGTGTTTCATCTGTTTCTCCAGGGTCAGTTTGAACATACACCTAATAAACCAATAAATGGATAAGAATTTAATATTTGCATTAGTAAATCATTAAAAAAGACAATGCCATTAAATAAATTACTGAAATTTAAATCAAATTTATTTTTTAGGAATATAACTTGTATTTAATAAAAAATAATTTTTTTGACAATTTAAATTCACTTGTTAAAATTATTTAAGTAATAATGTTCATGTTGACACAATAAAAAAAATTGAAAGTTAATTTTTAAAGTGAGGTGTTCACTATTAATATCAACAGGCAACAGCAGAATCTTATATGAATGATAATAACTTCAACAACTTATACATTTAGTTTAAATGCAAAATGGCAATTATGAAATAATTGAGTACCAAATTCAACGTTTTCATAAAACATGACTTCTCCTCTAAACAGAAGAGCTATACACAAATAACATTGAACTTCATTAACATTATTTAAAAGCATTACATAATATTAATTTAATAATAAAATATTTTTAATATTCCAAATTTCATCTGTGCCACACTAAAATGAGAAATCATAAAGTGTTAGAATTTACCTGCTTTGCATTACTGTTCCTGTTAAAATGTAGAGTATTAATAGTGAATGGAACATTGTAAGATGAAGGAGCCAGAGCAGCATTCTCCATTTCTTCTCTATCACTGAAACAGGAATACAAATTCACAATTCAAAATATTAAAAAATTATAAATATAGAAATTGTTATCTAAACTATTTTAAAGTATTACACTATAACAATTTATTCTAGTGAAATTCAAGTTCTAAACATCTGTTTTCTTAATATAAACTTGTGTTAGGTAGGTTATTTCTATCAATATAAAAACTCTACGTCGGCAAACATTAACACAAATGTATAACAGTGAAAACAAAAGACTATGAAGGCAAATAATTTAGAAATTTTTGTTTATTTAGTTTATTTTTTAAAGCTCAACAAACTAAAAAATATTTTATGGTACATTTTGTTGATAAATGAAATACAAGGTGATTAATAATTATTTGAACAAGCTTGACACAGAAATTTCTAAAAATATAAGCTAGTTAAGATATGTTACTTAAAATATTTCAGAAACAAAGTTTAATTGTTAATTGCAGCCAAAAAAAAAAAACGATAAAGCATACATGAAAATAGAAAATTAAGAAATGCCAACACAAGAAATATGAGGCAACATATAAACATAAATACATGAAACATATAAACAAAGCAACATATGAAAAAACTGTCTTTCAATAGAATATTAAAAGCTGTACACATAACATAAAAATTAAATACATATCTTGTTTATTATTATATTTTACAGACTTTGAAATGAGTCAAAGGTTTTTACATATTTCAGATCACACATAAAGAAAAAAAATAATAAAAGAAAAAATATAAAAAAAAACAAGTGTGACACATTGCTTGACTAATGTGAGAAAATATAGATTATTTATTACTTTTTCAAATTTTTTTACTACAAACTTTATTGGACTGGAAATCATTTTTTAGGACTATAGTTGAAACAGAAGTTGCAATGGTTATAAATATTTCTGAATAATTGATCAATATAAAAATAATTAATTTGTTCAATTGAATTTAAAAGCCTAAATGAAGTATAAAAAAAAGCCTTATTGAAAAGATGAGTTTTTGTAATACATAAATGTAATAAGAGAGACAACAACCTCTATGTTATCCCACCAGATGTCGCTCGTCTGAACGAAAGGCATAGAACTTTCTTGATGTAAATGAAGAGAGTTAGTTGATATTGTTTCTAAGTGAAACTGGTAACCTTAGTGGTTAAGACTCTAAGTGACTATAATACTAGTTAATTGAAATACGTTTCTGTGTGAAACTGGAACCTGTGTGGTTCGACCTTAATTGTTTAAGAGTCTGTGTGACTCATATTATTATTAAAGAATAAGCATAATCATTAAATGTCTTGATTGACTTTATTAATGGTAACCAAGGCATTTACATATATACATATATAAATAATAAGAGGCACTATAAAATGCTGGTTTTCATAAGAAGTGCTTGATTAATTTCTGGAATGTATAACGAACAAAAGTTTCCCAGATTTATAAAATAGTTTTTAAATGCACCACATTCAAAATTCTTACTTAAAGAGAAAAAATTTAATACTACTAACACAATATTTGTCAGTAATCATAACTACTAAATCTCAAAAGGGCTGAAAACCAAAAAATTAAAGACTAAGTAAAACAAAAGATTACAAAATGAACATTTCTTTTACTTATGCTGATCATTTAAGTTGGTATTTTCTTTTTCTAAAGCCGAAGCAAAATTGATGAATGAGCGAGATGATTTTACACTTTTTCGATCAATGGGCTTATTGGATTCTTTGTCAGGGTACAGTGAAGTGCGATCACTCATCCTCAGGTATGATTTTTCCACCTGAAAAAAATTCAAACACACTAAGTAAACAAACTTTTATTAATTCTTTTATAATACTTAATGTTAAGAAACTGAGTAGTAAACAACACTCTGGGGGTGATAAGTAAAAAAAATGTATGTGATAACATAGGCAAAACTGTTATATAGCAGATAATTTGATTTTGTGATTTCTACAACCAAAATAATATTTTAAAAAAACTTATAAATAAAAAACTTTATATTTATAAATAGAATGACTATGACAATAAATATTGTAAGTTTTTATAGAATAACTACTCGATTTATTAAAAAGAACTAATTATGGAACTTAAATTAAAAAGTCCTTTTAAGAAATAATAGAATATTCCATTTTTTTTTAAAAATTTTATTTAAAATAGCACTTTATCAAAGTTCCCATTTAACATATAAAAAAATACTGTAATTTATGTAATATAAATCTCTAAACTGATAAAAGGAAGATTTATTATAAAAAATCCCAAAGAATTCATTTTATATAATTTTTTGTTTTATGTTTTCAGTTTTGAAAAGTAGTTTAAATTAGCTAAATTATCTAGACTAATCGGAAAATGGAAAATATACTGTTTCACAAGTCATATATAACTTAAGAGTTTTCTAGTAGGTAAAAAATAAAAATAGAATCTTGCTGAAAAAATATTAACAGCTAAATTAATTTACAAATACTACACTTCTTTAAAAGAAACGAAAAAACAAATTTAATTTATAAAAAGAATAAATTATACTTACATTTTTTGTTTTGCCAACAGATTCCTTGATAGAATTATTCTGCAAAAGAACTTTGGGTTCCTCTAAGTTTGTCAGCAACTGAATATTATGAACTCCATTATCTTCAATGTTCTCTTCCTGTTCCTCCTCACTATCATAACTACTCTCTGTATCGGATACAGATTCAGCACCAACAGATTCTGCACTACTATCTTCTTCAAAATCAGAATTATAATCCTAAAGTAAAAATATATACAGACACATATTGATAAGGAAACATTCTATAATCCAAAATATTTAAAAAACAGATAGTGAAAAGACTTGACTGTTTTTCAGAAAGAAATAATACACAATAGAAGCTCTTAATAACAATGTTTTAGAATTTTTACAGATTTTGACAAAAAATTTTTAACTAATGCAATTATTACAGATTGAATTATTTTACCTTTTTAAGCAGAAACCAAATATATACCATAAATCTGCTGTCATACTGTTTCAGGTGCTTATTTCATAGCTTAAAATTTCTCTTAGAATTTATTATTCAAATTATTTCTATTCCTTTATAAAAACCTGAAAGACTGGTAACATTAAATCACTAGTCAGAAAATTCTGGTTTCATAATTGTACATCCTTAACATAGTAAGAAAAATCTAAAATATAGCGCACCATTCCTATCATTCTAATCAGATGTAACAACCTAGTATTTTAAATTTTGAAAGATATTGTCTAGTGGAGTAAAAGTATTATTCAAAAAATATTGCTCAGAAGAACAACAATGATCATGTAGCATTCTTTACAGGGCCATTGAGTACTGAACATAGGGCTAGGATTTAACAGATGGTGTGATGGTTTTTATTTTTTTTTCATTTTCTATATTATTTTATTAATTTATTTTGAAAAATGAATAAAGAGAAAAGGCATTTAATTATATTTCTCTTTTCATTTATAGCCCTCCGATTATTGAGTTACATGGCAAGAAAAAATTGTTGATCACTAAATTAAAATTAAAATGCAAAACCTTTAATTTTGGAATTATGAAAAATTAAGTCATTTAGAATAAAGTACTTTATAGATAATAAATTTTCTTATAGCCATTTTAACACAATAGCAATTATTGTATGGTGGAGTTCTAGTTTATAGGTTACCAGTAATATCCTGCATTATGAGAAAAATAAAAGGGGATAGGAACTTTCAAAAACTTTCTTACAACTTAAAGAGTACACTTAATTTTTCTATGCTTATTTCAATAAAGCACAAAATTAGATGGAAATTATTATAATTCAATATAAAAGTAATCTTTATATTTCAGAGTTATCTGCTGGGTAAAAGCATCATCAGCTCACTCACAATTCAAATAATAGCTTCTACTGGCAGTATTGGCACACTTTTGGAAATATTACATTTTTCTCTTTGATGACAGCTTATAACTTTGTATCAAAAAATCTTTGTATTGTTGTCAGAAAGAAATCTATTTCTTCCAGAACACTTGTATTGTTATCTGAAAGAAATCTATTTCTTCCAGAACACTTGTATTGTTGTCTGAAAGAAATCCATTTCTACTAGAATACTGGAAGAAACTGTACAAAAGAGAAGAAAATGGACATGAAAGAAACTAATGATCGATAACTAATACAATTGTTTAAAAATAATGATTGAATGCATAGCTTAATTGTTAAAAAATAAATTTAATATAGTACCAGAAAGTTACAAGTTTTCCGTTTTACTTTTTAAAAATAAAAACTATTTTTAAATTATTTATTTCAGTTTTACAGTATTATTTATTTTAGTTTATAGTACTTGTAGTAGAATTTCAAAATATATAGATTATATTATTTCAGAATCAGATTGAGTATTCATACTATTTGATTACAAAAATTAGTATACAGGCTGCAATTGTGAATTGAAAATGTGATTTGCAGTAATGTATACGTTCATATGTTTCAAAGTACATTTGTCAAGAAAAGAAACTATGTTGGTAAGTTGGTAAAAAAGAAACAAAAGTTCAATTAAACATGGTAAAAACATCAAGGTAAATTGTCACACACCAATGCAGAAAGTAATAAATATTTAAAGTACTTAAACTTCTTGAGGCAATGAAATTTAAAAAGAGATTGAATTAACTTAATATTGCTGTATATATAGTAGTATTATAGAAAAAAACACCAACTTTAAAAAATAGCTAAAATGAAGGACTTCATTACATAAATTTCTACAACACTATTAAAATTCTAAATACACTTTTGCTCAGAAAATATAAACACATGCATGAAACTATATTTAATTTTTTATTATTTTTTTTACTGTACACTCAAAACAAAAAGGGAAGATTTCTGTATCGTGATATGTGGCAAAATAATCACCATGTCTTAGCAACTTACGGGCAGCGGGACACAAGAAACCAAAAAAGAAATCACAGAAAGGGACCAACTTGGAAGGTATAATAACATCTACACGCTTTTTTTTTTTTAAAAAAATTGCAAGCTTCAAATCTATTTGGCACCTTGGTTGGTTGTTAATTTACGTCGCACTAGAGCTGCACAATGGGCTATTGGCGACGGTCTGGGAAACATCCCGGAGGATGATCCGAAGACATGCCATCACAATTTTGATCCTCTGCGAAGGGGATGGCACCCCCGCTTCGGTAGCCCGACGACCTGCACGCGAAGTCGAGCACTTTACGGTACCACAGTTTAACGAGGACCAATACCGCACACCCTCGGTCCCTACACAGACTGATCCAAGTGGCCACGGAGCTTGGCAATTTAGTTGATCATGATACTGAAATATTCTCCCTCTCCCCAAAAAATTCATCCTTGAGGATCTAGTAGTTTCCATTTTGCAATAGCATTATTTTCAGTTTAATTGTTCTTTAGACTACTTAAGTTTAACTTACTTACTTACAACTTACTTTACTTTAAACAGCATAAGAAATAAAATTTTGGCAACATCAAACTTTGCTTACATGAGACCGGTTTTATATTGGTACCTACTTCGAAATAATCTCCAAGTTTTAGCGACTTCTAGGCAGTGAACATCACAAAAAGGGACCAATTCAAAAGGTATTATTTGTAGTCACCCTCAAAAAAGCTCTCGCAATTTTTTTAAAAAAAATTTTTTTAAACTTCGAAATCTTTTCAGCGTCTTGACATTTGTTGCTGGTGCAAATAGGTTCCGACATGAAAATGTCCATGTTTACATTACATAACAAATAAGAGGACATATATTTTAATTATTGAATCACTTGAAATATGGAGAAGCAGTACTTACTTCAAAGTCATCTTCATAAGATCCCCTTTCATCACCAGACTCAGTATCAAGACTAGTCTAAAAATTAAGTTAATTAAATTTCAAAATATGACAAGTGTTAAAAATTATTGAGACAAAAAGTTTCAAAGAAAAAAAATTTCCAAGTCACATGACCCAATGCTGTAATATAGGTTTGTCCAATTTTAAAAGTAATAGACACCTAAGAAGCTGATGTGGTTCTATGACGGGTCCTAAATTATTATATACTCCCCACAGAAACAGGTCATCATTTAGTTTTAAATAATCTTATTGTTTAGTTGACTTTAAATTTATCCAACCATTAATAAATTAATGACAAGGACAATAAATAGGAGTTGAATTTACTATCTTGTACAAAGTTTAAGAATATACAGAAACAATAGAGATGAAGATTACAGTGAAAAAGAAGCATGATTTAGTTAAATAATTAAAATGAAAAGCAAAAATGAAACAAAATACAGTTACACATTTGTATATAACATAGAATAACAAGCAATCAAGTAATAATTATAAACAAATTATATTATTTTCATATAAAAAAAAATACCATACCTAAAAAATTATAAGAAGTGACAAAAAAATTCTAACATTGATTTACAAATCAAGATAATTAATAAAAATACAATTAATACACACAAATCAAGATAATTAATAAAAAATTACTTAATTCATACATTAAAAGAGCCACTGATTTAAAATTTGTGATTGAAAAGTGGAATATGAAAACATAAATGATGGCGATATGGAATGCTAAACTATATTTCAATCACCTTAATAAAAAAATAATAAATAAATGAAATAAAACATTACAAACAAACTGTTCATTTTCATATTTCTTTAGTTATTTTTGATATTGTTTTTAATTATTAATTTTTAATAATAATTTTTTATATAATTTTTAATTGTTCAATTGGTACTTAATAAGTTTATATTTATTTTAATTTTTCAATTCTTATATATTTTGATAAAAAGATTTGATTAATTTACTAACAATTTTTAAAAATAAATGCTTTTTCAATAAGTGATGTTAGAAAGATGTGATAAGTGATGTTAGAAGTTCTTAATAATGTGCTTGTATAGCTATAACTATTTAAGATAACATTTTTGTTAATTAATTATTTTAAAATTCTGTTGACAGCACAAGAAATTCAAATAATACGATAAAAATTTATCCAATAATATTCTCCATACACTTAGAAAAACTAATAAAAAATGTTTTATTTGAAGGTTTAGATTAGGTTTTTAAAAGTTTATTTTGTCTTTTCGACAAAAATGTTTTTTTAGAAAATTTCTGATATAATAAGACAGAATTATCAGTGCTTATTACAATATAAATATTGCTTACTTTACTCCTTGATAATGAATTCTTTCTTAGTTTGTCCACTATAAAGTAAAAAAAATCAAATTTAGAAAATGTAAAATAATACATATTAGATTTAAAATAATATTTATAATGGTTTTAAAGATTTTACAAAATGTAAAAACATTGTTTACTACATTGCATTGAATATTCATCACTTTTAAAACTGCTAAAAACTAATAGCTTCAATTAAACTTAAGATACACACGGGACTCCACTTACACACTTCAACTATACTAGTATTGATAGTAGTCAACAATGAATAAAAATTTGTTCTCTTTTTTCTTTTAAAAACAATTTCAAAGTAAATAATTGCATTATTATAACTGATATGCCTAAGCTATAAGTTATTTTACTTATTTATTTTTTTGTTAAACATTTTTATAAAAGAAAATTTCCCTTACCCATCATACAGCCAAGTTTCGATTATTTTTCAATAATGACTTAACTTATTTATATATAAAAGAATAATATTTATTAATGATTCCTTTTTTTTAAAAATATTGCTATTCAGAGGCCAAATATTCGGTATTTGGCTGGTTTTTCGGCCGAATATTCAGTATTCGGTCAAATCATTATTCGTTACATCCGTATTACAAATGGAATTACCTAAATTTTAGTACTAGTATAGGCAAATTGAAAATTACTCGTATTTTGTATAGGAGAATATTATAGTACACATATTCAAATTTATTTAAATCAGTAACAAAAACATTTTTAAAGGCATAATTTAAGTTACGAAAACAAATGAAGAGATTTCTATATTCGTATGAACAGAAAAATAATTGCCAAGTTTTGGCGACTTCTAGGCAGTGTTTTGCGAGAAACTAAAACTAAAAATTATAGTTGGTGCAATCAATAAGGAATTATCCTTAAACAAATATATTAGGTCTCAAAATTTTTTTTTCAATGCATATAATATCATTTTTACTGCATAAACTTTTTTTTAATTATTAATTAAGTATTTCGACTGACATGTTTCCATTCTATTCTCGAAAAATAAGAAAAAACTTTTATCTAACTTACTCTTTTTTTCTTCATTTAAGTCCTCAGACGGCATTGCAGAGTGTTTTTTAATGGTACTTGTTCTTGGTCTCTCTAAAATAATATTTTTTTCATTATTTACAGAATTTTCACTTTTGGGTGTTTTAGAAGCTTGTTTTTGAGAATCTAAGTTCTTTTTTGACTTGACAGAAGAACTTTGAACAAAACTTTTAGCTATTTGAGCATTTGTACGACGCTCTGCAGTTTTCGACTTTTGTCCACTAGTAGAAACGTTCTTGCTACTAATATGTGTCTTTTGGCTTTCTTTCTTGTCAGCATTACTGGATTTCTTAGAGGATGAACTCGTAGATTTTACCAATAAAGTCTTTTTTATCGGTGTCACATTTACTTTTGATGCATTATTTGTTTTTGAATTTGTGGTAGTAATGTTAGTCTTATTCAGTGGTTTTCTGTCAACACTCTGAGATTTTCTAGGAGATTCCCTTGAAGGACCAGCCAGTGGTCTGCTTAAGCTTCCACTACGATACTTTTCATCAGCAATATTCTTTTTGGAAATAGTTTGTGATTTTTCCTTTTCAATTTTAGAAACAGCTTTAGTTTTATCTGAACGAGATTCTCTTCTTAAGTTTTGGGTTTTTTGGTCAGTTTTGTTCCGATTCTGCAAAGAAAGGATGGAAAGAAATTATACACATCTATTTAATATAAAAAAGATAATGTTAAGCATAATTCACAAATATTTCCCATTATATTAGGGTTTTTTTTCCACCTAAAAACAGCATAAATAAAAATTTTATTGGTATCTAATCTACTTCTGGCGATACACGAAATCAGAACATAGAATTTATCTTTTTTTTATCTCAGCACTAAATTTATTCAGAAAATTTTCTCACAATAGAACTTGTTGGTTTCCGTATCTTGAAAAGTGAAAGAAAATGGTTTTAAGTTATCTAAATGTAGCTTAAATTATTGGACATGATACTAAATAGCAACTTCAACATTTATTGTAAAATAATCAAAAAGAGAAAGTTTTCAGGTGCATGATTTATAAGTCAGATTTAAGGCCAAACACAGGTTTTACAGACCCTGAATCAAAATTCATTTTACTTGAAATACAAAAACTGTAACTTTCATATTTTCAAAGTTACTTGAAAAACTATTCTTTATTGGATAATTTACCAGTTGTTTCTATGAGAAAATATAGTGGCTTGATTGATAAAAAATGAACAATATATAGAAAAACTTCATGGAGTGTAAAATGAAAAACTTCAACATCAAAAGTTTATTGGAAATTTATAAAATAATTAATACATTAGGTGAAGAAAAATATGTGATTTCTTAAAATACTAATCTGTTTTCGGAGGTGAGGCCTAATAAACTATTCTCCCAGTGCCTATAGTAGAATATTAAGGACATATTACCCTAATATTAAAAGTACCTATTACAAGGATTAATTAAGGAACACCAGCGTCAATATCAGTTTAGCAATCTTAAGGCCCCTTGAAACAAATTACTAATTTTCTCAATACTGATAAATTTCCTATCCAAAAATATTAGTAATTACAGCTGTATGCCTCCTAAATATTACAAGATTAGTTTAAATACGGGAAATAAAAATTACATAAAAACACATAATATTTTAGCAGATGAACAAGAAATTGTAAAAACAAAACTTTAAAGTAATAAGTAAATTTTAAAATAAAAATATGATGAGTCTCAAATTCAATGTATAAAATTAATTCACAGTAACTTACCATTATGTAACGAAAGAATTCTCAGAATAAAAAATATCATACAAATAACTGTTGATATCTAATTGTGTTAAAAGTTAATGTTAATTAGTAACATTTTACAAAGGCAAGCATTCAATAAAATGATAATTTGAAAATTTACATGAAAGAAGCAAATTTGGAAAACAATACTTCTCCAAACCAATAATTCAAAAGTAAATTTATCTAAAGTCGCTTTAGACTAGAATTTGTGAATACCACAACAAATTTATTTATATCTTGTTACTATAGCAACGAAAATAATGAAAATCTAAGGTTCTGTTATACAACCTTAAACAACGTAGTCAATCAGTTTTCGTTCTTAATATTTATTTCAGTGGTATATTAGAATTATAAACCGATTGTATGAGTTTATTTAGATTAGATTCTCGATTCAAAGAAAAAATAAAAACTGTTGCCAGATTAGCCTATAAAAATTAATACAATATATAAAAATTTAATCTTTTTGAAAATTATTTTCCAGTTAAATTTATTTCAAACCTAGACATGACAACCATCAGAAAGAAAAAATAATATTCAATGTTTTTTTTTTTCAAAAATTCCTTACATGATAGAGTTTGTTTGTAACCACGTCTGTAACAAAACAAAAACCAAACAAATAGGCAATACAAATATATAGCTAGATTTCTGCAACGAAATATTATGATAGAACTTGATTTAATTGAAATGATTTTTGCATGAAATCAAATTATTTATGCTTTATTAAAGGTGATTTTACTAGTTAATAAGCATAAAAATGAAACAATTGAGTTATTAATTTTTCTAGATTGTCATATGGTGCAACGCATTATTCATGAAAAAGTCTTGTTTTCTTCGTAATTTTAGAGCTATAAATATTCTAAATTAATCTTGTTAAAAAACTAATCTGTGCTGCTCGAATTCAGTGCAAAAGTCTTACATAACAAACTTTTTATGATGCTTAAATTTAGTAAATTGTCTGTTTTGTTTCATGTATAATTAAAGTGGTAAATGATTGATTACTGTTATTAATGATGATTTTACTAATTTAAAATAGTTTTGAAAAGATACAAGAATATTTTTTTAATTCCACTTGAAATAACTATGATAGTTATTTAATGTATATTTTTATAGTGATTTTAACTGAGTTGTAATGATGAGCATCTACTTAGTCAACTATGGATTTTAAAAAATCTTTGTTCTCAAATTAGGGGAAATACATCCACTTTATTATTTTTAAAAGTACCACTGTTTAATTTGTCACAATTCAATCTTTATAACAATTTTATTATGTCCTTGATGCATGAAAATGTAAAACTTTAAAATCGACTAAACGTTATGATTTAATGAATTTTGGATAATTCAAATATTTTTATATCGATTTTCAATTTGACTAAAGATGGTCAATTATATTTTAAAATTGTGTGTTTTGATTTCTAAAATTATTTGAAATGTTCAATCTTTAATTCTTAATTTCAGATTTTTCATTCAGTGATTAAAATCAGTGTTCTCAACTGAGAGTTACTTTGAAGACAATGACTAAGCTTACTGAACACACGGTGCTTGCAAGAACTAGGGCTCAGGATCTTAGGAGTGTTAGAAAATTAAATGCATGGTTTGTGTATTTTTTTGTTTGTTTTTGTTTATAAAAAAGGGCATATTCCCATCTTAATGCATTTGTTGTATTAGAAGTCTCTCATTAAAAGAAGTCCTTTAGAGATAAAATATATTTTATTCGCTGAAACATTTTATTTCCATTACAGGGGCAGTGAGCTGACTGATGTCAGCATTGTGAAAAAACTTCCAAATGTAGAAGTTTTGTCTTTAAGGTAAATAAATTATCTTATATAAATAGAAAAATATTTAAATTTATCTATGTTTTATTTTTAAATATCCTTGCAGTAGTTCTATGCATCATAAGTATCATTTAGTAGTATTCATAGATATAGATTAATCTACACTGGTGTTACTTACTTAAAAAAAATTTTTTTTGCAATAAAAAAAACTTACAAAATCAATAAAACCAAACCTTGCCAAAATATTATCTGATATAAGACAAATATACGGGAAAGCTAAAAAGAGCACAACCTGTACCTTAAATAAGGTAACAGGTCACTTGTCCAGCACAGCAGCTGACCGACATCTTCTCAGTTAAGTGGAAACATGTCTAATAGGGTGTATTATTTCCTCTAACAGCTATAAAATTCGTTTATCTACTTTTTATACTGATTACGAGAGTTCTTATCAATCCATGCTGCAACCACACCCATTCTTGCAACAAGGCTTCCTTGAGCTTATTGATAGTCGTTAGATCTGGTCTTTGAGCGTCGGAGTGTGTTCCATACATTTTTCATGGGATCAAGGTCAGGGGACACTGCAGACCACTCCAGTTGATGAATACCGTTGATTTTAGGTATTCGCCCACCAATCAGCCCCGTGTTGAAGGCGTTATCCGTATATTGTCTATTTTGGTGATCAAATTCCAAATAAATTTTATAGAAATATTAAAATTCTTCCATTTTAGCTTTCTCTGTAGCTTTAACTCAGTAATAATATTGAATATGTCAATTTTATTTGAAAGAAAAAATATTACCCTTTATGTTCAACTTTCTACAAAATCGCCCAACTATTCAATTATTTACTTTTACTTTGGAGATCAAAAACTATTACTTTTAGGTGTAACAGTTTTTTTCTGAGCATTATTTCTAAGTTTTTAAAAAATTACATATTTCTCTTAAACGATCAAAGTCACTTTTTGTTTATATCTTCCCAACCTTATGCTGATGCATTTGCTGGTGAAGATAAAAGTAATAAAAATGTCTTTAATCAACATCCACCAGCGATGAGATTCAGCCAGAATGCGCATACTGGTTTTTAAAATTTCTAAAGTACCGCTACAGGTTTTTAAAATTCAATGATCTAAAACATTCAGTTTCTGTGGGAGATCATATCTACCAGCTCATATGATAGTGCTTTTTCTCCCTTGGAAGTTAAGCATTTTATGTTTAGCTCTTCCATGGCACTTGAAAGTCAGCAACACAGAAGAAAAACACATTTGCCTAGTAATATAAGAGAAAGATAGTGCAATGAAAGCTCTTCCCTTCATTCTTTTCCTGAATCAGAAAACTTCCAATGAAGACTCTCAGTTTCCTCCTTCCCATCTTACTTTGCTGATGGCAGTCAAAGAAAGCAGAGAAGAAAAATACAAATCAAAGTCGTAGGGATTAGTAAAAAGGAATGACTCTTTACAGTCATTCTATTGGTCATAGTGGTTAATGTAGTTAATTAGAGTTAATAAATAATTTTATTAGGGATGAAGAGGTCGAGGGGTTAGTCGTTTTACCATGGGGAAGGTGTAGTTAACTTCTCACTTTCAGTTGGGAGTATATCTCTTTAATTGAAAGCATGTAGCTGAAGAGTATGTTTAAATTATCTATTTTGAAGATCAAGTTTATTCACAGGCCGACTTATGTTATTAGCTTTATTTATTATATTATTTGATATCAAGTTTGCAGAAACAAGTTTCAGTGTATTGTGGATTTTTACTATTTTGGAGCATTCTACATATTTCAACATTAACTCTTGTAATCATTTTTGATTTAATTAAAAATGAAATGACAACTAAGTTTAGTAAACTATTTTATTAAAAATTCTAAAACAGATAGCCACAATAATACATAAGAGACATTAAGTGTTAACCAGCAAAATGAAGTTAATCTTCATGAATGGTAGATGCAAGAATAGTTACAATATTTTTCTGAAATATAGGAGGGATAAATAGTCATTAAGATAAATTGGCATGTGATTACTGACATAAATTTGATATTACTTAAACCAAAGGTATTCTTCATGTTTCTAAAGAATGGAAAAATTGCTAAGAAGAACCATTAGTAAAAAAGAACTAGCAAGCTTCTTTAAGGAAAAAAATTAATGAACACTTTCTTTCGAGATATCACAACTTATCTCGAAATAACTTTAAACAGTCAAAAACTAATCTGCTTTTCAAAGCTGTCAATGAACAGTTTTTACAAAATGTTGTCCATTCTCAGACATTGAAGATGAAATTAAGCTTCAAATAAAAAACGATCTGAATATGGAGATTGGTCTGTATTCTACGAATGAAATGAAATATTTGGTAAAGTTACATAGAAGGATTTAAAAATTTGATGAAGCTTCAACTTTCTCTAGTAAACCAGTTTTAGTGATTTTTATTAAAATGGAAGGTAACAAGTCTGATCATAATTGATTACTTTTTCATAAAATGTTTGGAACCAAAATACTGGAAAATAAAATATGTTTTTTGTTTCCTGAAGAGAAGCGGAAGATCGATTGCCTCTGCAGTTTTTTGACATTTTCAAATATTGGACAGACATCAATTGCTGTAGGAATTAAATATGGAAAATGTTTTTGGAAGCATTAAAAATCATATTCTTAAGACTATTCAGAAAGCAAAGAATATTTTGAGAACTCTCACCATAAGTTCTGAGAGACTTTATCCTAAAGAATTCTATTTGTCAGCAACACAGAAGAACACTTATTAGATGAACAGAAGAAACAGATTAACTCTAGAAAACATTTCAAATGTAATGATAACTCTTTAATGGAGGATTTCTCTGAAAGACTGGAACTCAAAGCAGTGGTTATAAAATGGCCATGATGGAACCACACTGCCGATAATACTTAGTTAAAAAACACGTAACTGAAAGAAGCAAGTGAAAACTAAAATGCCATTTGGAAATATTTAAAAAATAATTCATTTAAAATTTTTACAAATGCTTTTTTATGTCTCCTATTTTATGTTCCTATTATACTCTATAATTAATTACCTCTTTCTTCTAAAAAATACCAAAAGTATTTTAAAAATACAGGTTCTTAAATGATTTGAATCCCTTTACTGACATGGCGATATTTGCTGGTGAAAAATATTCTTATATGTACTTCTATTCTACACTTATATTCAGTGCTTGTTGATACAGGAAATTTGTTAGTTTAAGTGCAGGGTTGCCAACTGTTCTGCTTTCGATAAAGGTTTTTATTAGGTGGTAGCAAATTAAAAACTAAAACATTCTTAGTTGTTTTTAATTTCACCAATACTTTAAAAGGCTGACTAAAAATTAATTTAAATAAAGTTTCATGTTAGATAAACATATGAATTATTTAAGTGTACTGGTGTACAACAAAACTTAAAGGAAATTTGCTAACCCAAGAATCTATTTAAATTTTTCTACCACTAAAAAAACGATTTCCACAGAGCAAAACAATTTTGCAACCCTGTAAGTGATGAAAAATGATATTTACCAGAGCTGGCTAACAATCCTGAAAATATGGTAATTTCTATTAAGTTATTTGATTAACATGTTTTTCAGTGTTAACTCTATATCAAGTTTGGAAGATTTTTCACACTGCGATAATTTGCAAGAACTGTATATACGAAAGAATAACATAGCTGAATTAAGTGAGATTCGACATCTGAGAGATTTACCAAAATTAAGAAATTTATGGCTTGCTGATAATCCATGTGCGGAATGTTCTGACTATAGACTAACTGTAATTCGAGCCTTGCCACAACTACAGAAACTTGACAATATGCGTAAGTGATAAACTTTATAAACTAAAAAGTGTTTTTCTGCATTTCACATTAAGTATTTAATGGAGCATTCTATTTATTTGCAGCAATTCGTCCTGATGAAAAAGAATCAGCTGAGAAACATGGTTCCCCTCTTGAGATGTTTCTTCCTAGGGATGAAAGTGAAGATGAACAATATGTGACAAGTCCTGTTATTCAGCAACAAATTCCTATTCAAAATTCTTCCAGCTTTGAAGAAATTTCACAAGTAACTCACACGGAAAGCTTCTCTGTTGAAAATACTGCTTTTTCTCCTGTTTCCAATAAGTACGTTCATTTTGTATACTTGTATTTTTTAGAATACTTATACTATTTATATTTAAATTATTAGAATTTATTATTATTTATCTGAGCAAATATATTTTAAACCAATCAACTATGTGTGATTTCTATTATTTCTTTCCACCTTAAAGTTATATTTTGGTATTTGATAGCAATCAAAATTAAAAATTTTTAACTACAAATTTGATCTTAATTTCTTGCGCTTCAGATATAACAGCTTTTTTTTTCCATTAAGGAAATAACTCAAAAAAATACATGAATAATAAAATAATTTTATCTTGCAATGTATCGTTGTTTAATGTTGATGTAGGTTCGGATTATTAATTTCTAGAGTTATATAGATTTTAACTTTTTATTTTTGTATATATTTTCGTTTTGTTCATAATTATCAAAGTTATTTAATTAAATCAAATAAAAGATGCATTTGCTATTTCTTATAGGCTATAAATTTATATTTTAGCACACAGTTATTAATTTTTTTTTAAATTTTATATTTTTAAAAAAATTCTGCTTAGGTTGAAATATTTTAAAAAACACTATTGTCAACATTACAGGATCTTATAAGTATAATTTTTTAGTTTGAGTGAGTGAATAATTCAAGTAGATGGATTTGATTGATTATGGCAGAAATTAAATTAATGGAAGATGATACTCTTAGATTACACAGTTTCATATAGAACAGGAGGATAATACTTAACATAAAAGTTGTATGCTATATATATTGAGAATAGAATAAATTGTAGACGAGGAAAACAGGACCATAATAAAAGTTTTATTCCATAGTAGAGCTTGATTGTAAAATAAAAAGAAAATTTTATCCAAATAACATTTTAAACTAATAATAAATTGAGATGGATGATATTTATAAGGACAGGCCATTGGAGATAAATCCCCCTTTGTCCTCTCTGAATCCCCCTTATATTCAATCTACACTTTGTGATCCATTATGGGCACATTATCAGAAAAGAACTGAAAGTTCATCCAACAACATGATATGTAATGTTAATATTTAAATCATATGACTGAAGATTTATGGTCAAAAAGTTTGTTAAAAATAAACCTAATAATGTATATGCTAATGTTTAATATGGTTGAAGAAAGAAAGGTTAGAAATAGATTCCGATTACACTTGCACCGAAATAAAAAGTTAGTTGTTACATTTGAGGGGGGGAAGAATATTTGCATTTGCTCTTTATAAAACTGAATAAAAATTTATTTATTTATTTAAAACGGAATTATGATTGATGAATTATGAATATGACTTTCATTGAATTTATATTTAATGAAATTTATGTTCATATTTGATCATTCTTATTAAAAAAATTTAAATTTTAAGAAATATCTAATGCCTATAATAACACAACAAATCTATTAATTTGTTTAAAATTATTTATGGCTTGTTTGTGATTGTTCAGTTATGTACTTTTCAAGGTAATTCGTTTTCCCAATTAGGGTGGTTAGTATATAAAAGTTAAAAAATTTGCTTTGTATTACCATATTAAGAAGAATGTATTTACGTGTCATTGAACAATCATTTATTGGCAAATTAAATTTTTCATTAAAATAGGCCTAACGTAAAGTTCATCAAAACTTAACAAACTGGTTGATAGGTATGGCTTTATTCCAGAAAAGAAACACAAGGTGCATTTAGTTTTATTTACAAACACACCAATTGTATATTGTAATACTTATAAACCAATAATGCTGCCAAAATATCATTAAAGTTGCTTTAATATATTAGTTTTGAATTAACTATTGGAAGTTATAGTTTATAAGTATGGTGTAGGAATGTATTTATAATAAGTTAAAAATAGAAGAGATCCTAAAAAACTAATTAAAATAGTTTTTATTACTATTATATATAATTTTTTTTATCAAAATCATTTTTTCACGTGTCTTCTGCCCAAGCAAATAGATATTTATTCATTGAGAAAAATGACAGTTGTAGCTAAAATAATATGTTCAGGTTCTGCATGTATTGTTTTAATTGTTATAGTACAATAACAGCTTACAGTCTTAATAAAAATGTTTGTGATTTCTATAATAATTATGAAAATATTACAATCAGCAGTTCTGCTTACACGCTATAGCACAGAAAATATACAAGAAATTGCATATAAAATATGCAAGAAATTGTAGAAGGGATGAGAAAAAAAATATTTAAATCATGTCCTTTGGGATAAGTTATTCTCCATCTTGAAACAAAAAAAATAATTTGACAACAGATTAGTTGCAGTTATCAAAATTATTAATCGCGGAACGAGAGAATTAAAATAATTCCATGTATCACTCATTTCTAATTAAAATTTTTAACTTCTATAACAATGAAAAGAGTTCTATAACAATGAGAGAACTTTCTAAACATGAAAAGAGTTATACAACTCTTTTCATGTTTTGAAATTCATCATTTTGTCTATCAATAGATGGAACATTTTAAACACGCATATTAATAGATGGATAAAGAGGTAGAAAATTTATCCTTTGTTTAATATTACAAATGATTTTTTATCCTTTAATTTTTCTTCAGCTTGGAGCATAGCTAAGCATGTGGGTGCCCATACTATGCATATGTCTCTGAAACTTCCTTTCTCTTTTTTTCTCTGTGTCCTGTTGTAATATTTAAATACTCATTTGCAGGGCAACTTCATTTTAAATAACTTAAAATTTTATAATTTTTAAATATTTAGAACTATTTCATATCGTTATTTCCTCATTTTGAAATTCTTTTGCAAGTGAGTAAATCATATATTGTTAAATTTACAGTGTTACTTTTTTATGATACCTTTTGTGGAAAAAAAATAATTATTCTAAGTAATCTAAACAGGATAAAGAATTAATAAATATCGAAGAAAATATCGTGTCATATCTATGAAGAATCTGATATTAATATTTTAGGGACAATTAAGGTAGACATTTCTGTTTTAACTTTTTGTTGAATTATTTCTAAATCAGTTATTAATTACTTTTTTTTCTTAATCATAAAATATTCACTTTTCAGTGCCTATTTAAAAAGTGGTTTCTATTTGAAACAATACTGAGAAATTTGTATCATACTAAATAGGATATTGCATTAGTAAATAAGGACTCGGAAATTTTGATGTCCAAGATCCTAAAGATCTGTTTGTTTCTGAGTCAAGTGTAGTTGAATAACTGATAATCACACAATATGACAACTTAAATTTTTTTTTTAAAGATTTGCCTATTTACATGCATTTAAAAGCTGTGTGTTGTTAAGTAAATAAGTAAGTAAAGCTGTTGTTAAGTAAGTACTTGTTAACAAAATAAAATGTTCTTCAATTTTTATAGTGGAACGGAGTCCTTTCAAATTGTGAGGAATAATGTCAAGCAGTCTGAATTTGTTAACCATTCTTCTCAAGCATCATATCAAGAAAAATATCCTCAAGAATTTTCTTACCAGGAGAGAGATGAAAGACTGATGCAAAACAACTCATATTCTGCCGAAAATAGCCCAGTTAATTCTAATGCACAACCTAGTGGCCATTTCCAAGAAAGTTTTGACAGAGATTACAATGATATGGATCCGACTCCAGATACACCATCAGGATCATCTTCAAGAGAACATTTTTCTCCTAAATGTGGATTCCCACCTCCTTATGTCCAGCGTTTGCCTATGCAGCGATGTGAGAGACCAACACAAATCCGCATGTTGCCTAAAGGTGGAAAAAGCAGAGTGAGTATTTTCTGATATTGCCTAAGCATTTTTAAGATCTAAAATTTTACAATTTGCACCAGCTTAAGTTCACAATATTTTATATCTAAAATGTAAACAGGCTGTTTAAAAATTTGATTTATTGAAATATGTTGTTCTCATTTGCCTAAATAAATATTACCCACACAAAAGTCCAAATTTTAAAGAAAACATTCTTAATTTTTTATGGTGTTCACCATTACAAATTGCCTCTCATAACAATACTCTCTCTAGACACAAAAAGGAAATTAATTGCTTTTCTTTTTTTGTTAGTATCAAAACTGTCTGTTATGGTTGTTATAACTTTTATATTGTTGTTTTTATTTTAACTTAATGGTTGATACTTAAATCTCAAAAAAAGTATTTGATTTAAAACTACTTCAAATTTTAATTAAAATAAAAATATTTTATTTCTTTTATCACTAAGTTATCCTCTTCACTTAACTTCTTTTAACTATTATATCAAGTCTTCATTGTATATAGAACTTGATAATATGGGAATTGTTTTGTCTTAATAGGAAGAAAAATATAAAATATATTAATAAAATAATTTTGTTTTATTGTTTTTACCTGAGCAGATCTCATCACAAAAAATGTTTTGCTCAGACCTTAATTTTATTTTAAATTTCGCATTTAAAGTTGCCTGTTTTAGTTTATTATTTTTAACGTATCTTCTTAAAGCCCAAAACTAAAATTTAGGGATACATGATTCACGTGCTTTTGATTTTAAAAAAATAGACTTTAAATTTTTTTTCCATACAATATTTTAATCTTTTCCAAATCTGATTATCTTATTTTGACTGTTCTGATAATATTTTAATTGTATTTTTACTTACATTTATCTATTTAGACTTATGGTATAAAAATTAATTTAACCTGATATACAAATTGTTTTATGGGGTTTATGGAACATATTTTATTTATTAGTTTGTCTTTAAAATAATACTTTTCTTTTAAAGTGTTGTATATTTAAGATGAATAAAATATATTTGTTTTTGTTGTAGTATTGGTAAAGGTTACTTTTCTTTATCTTTTAATTTTGGTTTGGGATCCTTCTTTGTTATTTCTATCTATTTTGTAAGAAAATGTGATTTCACTCAATTGTTTTTCATTTACTGTATTTAAATAAACGTAAGGCTATTAATTTTCAGAATGGTTCAAATAACTCTGTAAAATAGTGTGTAAATTTCATATCCATTTAATATTTTTCAAAATAACCTCCAACTGCCTTAATGCACTTCTATACTCCATTATGAAAGTTATTGATGCAACTTTTTAAGTTTTTATTCGGATTAATCTTGTATTTGGATAGTGTGGTTTTCTTGATGTCTTCAACAATCTCAAATTTTGCTTCTTTTTCTTTAGCAAATTTTTCAGTTTTTGAGGTGGGTATGAATTATCCATCACATTCGGAAATATAGTGAAGGGGATATGCAAGAAAACATAGCGAGCCCACACTTGTTTTTCAATAAAAATCCCCCCTTTTAATCAATTTTACAGTGTTTATAAATTGTAAAATGTTATTATTATTGTAAAATTTGTTTATTTCTGCTATTTTTTATAAGCTATAAAAACTATTTTTTCTGAAGTTGGTTAAAAAATTAAAGTTTTGTGTCCAGTATCATTTCTTGTTACTTCAGCCACATTTGACAAGAAATTCCAAATTCCCTTACCAAAAAACCACATCTTCAAACATCCTTTTTTGTCTCATACTATGGGGTAAATTCCGAAGAACAATTTAATGAGCCATTGAAGGTGATGCTCTAACTGGAAAAAAAATGAATACATTTATTTGTTATAATTTCTTTGTATTAACTATTTTTATTTAAAATTAAATTATGTTATGAATTTAGTTTACCCTACTTTAAAGTAGTTATAGTCATAGCCAATTTAAAACCGAATACAGTTCAAAACATAAATTTGTATATCTGTTCTATGTGTTAATTTAAATAAAATGTACTAAAATTTTGCAATTCTTATGGTTATTCTTTGAAACTTTGCACTAATACACTGACCAGACTTAGCACTGACAGGCTTTTTCTTTGTCACAAAACTGGGAAATTTACTTTAAGGACATGGTTTGAAAATATTAGATAACATTAAGAAATCATCGATGTCATAATTCGAGAATATTCCAAAAACTTACTTAGTTGTTTTTAAAACACATGCAGCTGATACAAAATGCATTTGGATTATAAAGGTTACTTTGTAGCAGTATGTAATTTATGCAATAAATCTTGGAGTAATCAGTGCAGTCCTAGATATTAATTGCTGTTTCATGTATTAAATTAAAAAATAATTTGAGATTATTTTTAAATAATTGTGAGATAATTTGTGATAATTAAGATAATATAATTGTAAAAATTTGTCTAAAACCTGATTTGTGCATTAAATTAAAGCTTTCAATATGTTTTCTCAAAACAATATTTTTTGAGCTTTCATGACACTGAAATAAGTATTTCATTCAATTTATTACCTTTTTTTCCCTTTACTAGTTATCTTGTTTCAAATTAATACAGCCTATTGTATTGCAGTAGCAGCTAAATACTACAGGATGCAACAAAAAACCTTGGACAAACAATTTTTAATATAACTTTATTAAAAATAAATAAATTGAAAAATTATAACAAATAATGGTAATAGACTTTATTAATAAATTTAATTTAATTGATTTTAAAGTGACTGCTTTTTGCAGCAATCCTGATGCATAAATACTTATTGAAATTTTCAAATGATTATGGACATTTCTTTTTGTAAACATTTTTTTTACTTAAAAATAATCTAATTTTTAAGCATTTCTCTTATTTATGATTATATGTATTTTCTTGTTTACTTTAGGCAGCAAACATTTTGTCAGCTGTTCTATGTTTGATTAAAGAATTAGATTGGGCTAGCTTAGAGGTTGTAGATACTGCAATTCATTGCCAAATGGAAGAATATGAAGAGCAAAATTCATCCTAATTACTGTGCTTATAATATTGCCTCTTTTTTTTAAAAGTAAAAAATTCAGTTGATTTAAAAGTTTAATAGCTGAAAAGGCTTGTCAGGATTTTTTTTTTTTTAATTATGTAGTTGAGAAATATTTATTTATAGACATGCATGCATTTACTTCAGGAATGTAAGTTTTTGTTGAAAGAATAAATTTTCACAAATGGTTATTCTTTGTGGAAAGATGAAGTTTTAGTAAATAAATGTAATTTTTCTGTTCTTTTATAAAATAACTATGCTTTCTTATAATTTATTGGCATTTTTATTGAACTACAAATGAGCATTAAAATATATAGATGTGCAATGATGTAAAAAAGAATCATTTGTAATTGTAATTTCTACTAAAGGAAGAACAAAGATAATTGCTTTCTTTATCGTAAATAATTATTATTTATTAATAAATTTGTTTTAATAATTTTTTAAACTCATGTGATTACAAAAATATAATTATGACTAATTACTATTGGTATGCATTTTCAAACATTATAATTTTTTATTTAGATTACTTTCTTTATCTTATTGAAACAAATTACTCTTTATACTGTGTATTTTTAATTGACTGATAAAATAAATAAAGTATATTTATAAATCTAAAGCAATTTTTTACTAAAAGAATAAAAATTTACTATATTTTTAAGGAGCAAATAACAAAAATAATTGTGATTTTTTTTAAATTTTTATAAAATAATAGAAATTTTCTTAATCAAATATAAGGTACGTGTTTGACATAGCATGTTTTGCTCTGTATTCATTTTTTGTATTATTTTAAAATACTTGTTTATTATTTTGTTACAAGAAAAATAATTATAATTTCTTTAAATACCATAATGTTGATTAGTTTTCAAAATGTCAGTTAATTTCATTTTTAAAGCAAAAGCTTCAGCCTTCGTTTAAGTGTAAATTTAGGCAAAATTTCCCATGCTATACATCACTAAAATTAATTTTTTCTCTTATTAACTGTGTGTTAATTCACTTTTTTGTTCCCTTTGGAACTTTATTTTCGTGAATTAAATAAATGCTTAAATCATTGATATTAATTGATCTTCCTTTAACTGAAAACACTTTTTGTTGATTTCATTATTTTGAGCACAGAAACTGGTTCTTGTGTCATTCAGCACAGAATTAAATTTTAGTTTCAGCTAACTTACAGTTAAAAAAGATAAACCAGAACTTAACTGATAGTGTTAAACCCATTTAAATGATATATTTCAGCAACGACAAAAAATAATAAATAATAACATTAAACTTTAAGAATGCATAGTTTATTTTATTCATTAAAGTTTACTTTCAATATTAAGAAAATAATCAAGAAAATGGTTATGTGATATGTCAAAAAAAAATTTATTACTTATTTGCTTCTTATACCTTTTATGTTTGTCTTTTACTGTTTTATGGTGGTGTTTTCTAATCTTGTGTGCTTTAACACAAAAATGTAATTTTATTTTAAAATTTCTTCAAGATATTCAAAAACGAAATATTTTTATTTAGTCTAATCGTATGCACATTCCACTGGAATAGTTGTTTATTTATTCTGTTAGTAAGATAAATATGTTATGTATAGATTTTCTAATATGCAGTACAAAGATTCTGTTTTAATTTTAAGGAACAAATTGTAAAAACTCTGTTATTTTGATTTAGTGTATTCTTTCATTGCTGTTTATATATTTGTTTGAGGTTGATAATGTTTAATATAAGTTGCTCATTCTTGTGATAGTCTATAATTGTCTCTGTGTGATTTTTTTTTTTTCTATTTCAGTTCCGTTTATCCAATTTTGTTTTTAGCAAGACAATATAAAGAATTTATGTGCCACTGATGCTACTTAATTATGTACTGCTTACAGTTTGAATCTCTCGAATTCATGATCTAATTCGCAACTGATTATAATCTATTGTATAAAAACTGGTTCATCCAGTTAAGTATGTAAGAATCATTCTAAAATATAAAATTTGTGTTTCATTGAAGTTTTATGGTAGAAAATGTATTGCAAGGTTTCTTTACTTATTTTCAAGCTTAATTCCCCCCCCCCCACTTTTGAGTAAAAAGCGATAGCCCATATTTTTGAAGTGACCTATTTTTTAAGGTATGGGTTATTACTTTTTAGCTCTGAAGTAGTCAATTTCCTCCCAAATAATAGAAAAATAACCTGCGTTATAAAAATAATGTTGCAACAGAACTATCAATTGCATTGAGGGAACATCCAAAAATGATGTTACACTTGGAGGAGAGGGCTTTGTGAAATTGTGACAAAGGGGAAGGAGACTGTAAAAAGAAGTATGACAGTATATATAATAATAAGAACATTTGAAACCATTGAACAATAAAAATAAGAACATTTGAAACCAGGAGATCGAATATTTTTATATTACTTCAAAATGCAGGAGAGGGTCAAAAATATTGAAAAAAGTGCGACATCATTTATGAATGGCCCCTTATATTTGCATTTAAAAAATAAATAGACAGTTTTTTTAAAATAACACTATATTAATGTGTAATTTACTTTTTTGTTTTAGTCTGATATTTTTATGTATATAGATATACCACAAAACAATCATAAAAAATGAAACTGTAAGTAAATAAGTATACTTTATAATCTGCTGAGGTGTGTGGTTTAAAGAGACTGTGAACTACATACTTTTGTTTATTAATTTTGTGTCATATGCTTCATTTTTAATGTATTGTACTTTGTTATAAGAAATTTATATTTCCTTTAACAAAACCATGTTTACACACACTCTCGTCTTGCAGGTAGGAAGTGCTCGTTGTACTTCTATAACCTTTAACTGTTAATAAATGTTAAAAACCAACATAAATTTATTGACATAAACATAATGCAAGAAAAATCCATTTATAGTGGTTATTGAACACATCATTATTAAAGAAGTAAATGAAATTAATTTCATTATGGTTTTGAATTTGTAACTGTTATGCATTTAAATGTAATGTTTGTTTGTGATGAATCTCTAATATTTTCTTTGTATGTGGGCAAGTTTTATAAAACAACTATTTTTAAGTTCTTATTATTTTTGCTTCAAATTTTTCCAATATATTATTTAATTTGTGATTGATGCAAACAATGCAAAAAAATTTTTTTTTATTAAAACTAATTTTCATAACCTATTCATATATATATTATAAAAAATCCTCAATAATACTCTTGTATCTGCCTCTAAATTACTGAGAGAATCTTGAGAATGAATGGTTAACTCATAGTAAATGATAACATAATGCCTTAAATTAGAGCAAACATCCGATGTGTCTTAGCCATTATTATATTAGCGAAGCAATGTGTGAACAGCACCATTGTTCTAGAAAGTTTTATTAATTACATATCATTCTAATTTTTATTCAATATTATAAAATGTTTCCAAAACTGAAAATTTTGATCTTGATTTCTGAAAGAAAAATTTTAATCAATCAATAAAAAAAAATGAATCAGTTGCTATCTTTTGAATGTTATCTATTCAGACTATTTAATTAATTCTGTATGGCAGTTTTGAATTCTTTTTTACTCCAGATCAGTCTAAATAATTTAAAAGAAACAAAATATGTAAAAAATAGTTATAAATGCAACTGAAAAATATTGTAAAATTGGCAATTATGTGGCATGCCAAAAAATTTAGGAATAAGAATTCTGCATTTACTGTGTATAAAAACATTAGGTACTGGTTAACCTGGTTATCACTAATTGTCTTTAGCTTAAGACTTAACCATTCATACTGCTATATGATTTCATTATTTTGTCTGAATAAAATAATATTTATGTGATATGAAATATGATCAATATTTATTAAATATTATTAATTAAAAATTTGAATTTTAAATAAGTGCATAAAATTTGATGTTATAAAAAATAAATGCATTTTTATTCTATTTTCTCTTTTAATATAAATAATTTTGTTTTTATACTCATGACTTGGTTTTCAATTTAATTCTACTTAATTAATTATTAACTTTTATTTCTTTGATTTATAAATATGTTTTAGATTCTAACCTCTTCTAATGACGATTTTTCTGACTCATTACCTGGTGATATTTTTGTGATGTATAATTTTTATTAATAATTTATGTATGAATAAACCTTTATTTACTATCAATAGTCTACATCTTCTTGTCTAATGGATATGTTTATACCCGTTTTATATTTATTAAAATATCATTTCAACAAATCTAAATTATCAATAACCTCAGGTAGTATAGTTATCAGCAAAGCAATTTAAGCAAATGTTATTTTTTTTATTTTTGTAAAAATTCAATTAGTTAAATAGTTATGTGCGAAGAAATGTTAATCAACTTTTCATTCAGACATTAGTAAAAACAACATTCTTTGTTTTCAGACGACTCTTGTGCAAAATAGTCTGATCAACCCTTATTAATTGTTCTAAACTGCAATTTTAAAGTTTGGAAAATCTCTCTTGCATGAAGTATATATAACTGCAATATATTTTATTAGAATTTCAATAGAAATTATTCTGTTAAAGAAGAATGTCAATCCCAATACTCAAGAACATTTCCAGAATATTATCTTTTTATATTAGTTCTCTAAAATTTATTATTTCCACAGATGCCTCTGCACTCATGGAAATCCTTGACACAATTGGATAAATTGCAATGCATTTTGTAGTACAGTACAGAACCCATTATCCGGAAACCAAAAAACCGGAACGAAATTGGATAAATTTTCCCGCAATTTTTAAATTTTTTTTTTTTCCTCTTAAGATTTAGGATTTTTCTTTCTTTTTTGAAAGATGTTTACCCTACCATCATTATAGAAATAATTATTAGTGTATTACTTCATAATTTTTTCTTCTTTTTAAGATTATTTCCAAATATTTATCTTTTTATAGTTGGGCTTAACAGTAAAAGAACGGCTTTTTGTAGCGATTCAGAAAACCGGAAAAATCAGTTATCCGGAATAGCGATGGTCCCGAATAATCGGTTCCCTACTGTACTAGATGTTTTTGAAACAGTTAATCTGAAGGGAAGAAAATGTAAGCTAACTTTTCAGTGTTGTTACTATTTAATTTCTTCCTCACTGGCGTGATGGGTCCTGGCCTTTCACAAAGTTTTATTCCAAACTGTCCTAGGCAAGGATTTTTGATTCATTACTTTTAAAGTCATTTTTTAAGCAGCCAGAAAACCTAAGTCTTGGTTTTCCTCTTTTTCAATTAGTTTAGTCAAAGGGATCTTTTATTTTGGGGTTTGCTTTGAGTATCATTCATTCTCGTCAAATGTCCTTTGAAAAGCATTATACTTTATTATGTTGAAATCTTTAAATAATCTATTAAGTTCCGCATTTGACCTTTTTATCAATTTGAGTTACACCACATTTTATTCTTCCAAAAATGCTTCTTAAGATCTTTCTCTTATATTGCAATGGTTTCCTTCTCATTTTCAGTTATAATACTATTTAATCAAATAAAATTGTCAGAATTTGCAGTTGAGAGATCTTGAGAAAAATATAAGAAAATTCAAAAAATTTAAAAATCACACCCATATTATGTGTTAAAAACTTAAATTTTTCTAGTTTTTCACTCAAAATAAACTTTTTAAAATGGCTAATCAAAAATTTGAAGAAAATTTTTTTTTCAATGCTTAAAATTTTAATTGCAAATCCTCCGTTAAAATAAACTGAGCTATGGTAAAACAGAACTATACATAAGAAAAGTATATTACACAGCTATATTTTATTTTGAGTCTAATTTAATAGCATCGTCATGACACTACACAGATCAGTGATAGCATTTTTGGTAGAAATTTCATAAAAGTTTTGTGGTCGTCGAATAAAATTTTGTGCTTTCACATGGAATTTTAATTTCTCAGTACTTAACACAGAGGTCTCATCACCAATCTGGTCTGTGGTTATAGGCCTGCCATGCTCAGTGTATGGACCATCACAGTTCATTATGATTATCATAGCTTTCAAAATAAAAAAAATCCAAAGGAATTCACAAAATGTTATAAATTTTATGTTAATTACAATAATTTTTAACGGTATTTTTGAAACTATGAAATTGAGGTGTTTTTATTTTCAATAAAAATTTAATTACCCTAACATTGATTGAAATATTTTATTTTTTTATTCATTTATAATGGACATTAAATGAATTTGAAAATAAAATAATTTTTATTTACGAATTCATATTTTTATAATATATTTTTAATTTATTTTAGATGGTTTAAATATAGAGAGTTTTAAATAAAACAAAACTGAACGTTTTAGAATATTTAAAAAGGAAAGCTTCTAAGCGATTAAAATGAGATTTATTTAGCAAAGATACTTATCTAATTCCACAAGAGAACAATAAATTTAGCAAAAAAGTAATATTAAGGATTTTTTATTTCAAAAACTTAGCTAATTTTGTATAATTTAGAAAAACATACAAAAAATAGGAAGAAAATAAATTAACTAAATTAGGAGAAATTGAGAAAAATCTTAGAGGCATCTATGGATATTTTAAATACATAATATTTTTAAAATACACAAAACAAATATATATTTTAATTGTAATTATTGAAATGAAAATTAACCTTAAAACTTTCAATAAGTGTACCCTTACACCATTAATATTTTGTTCCCTGGATGACTTCAATAATGAGAAATCTAGCAGAGGGACCGTTTAAAATTTCCCACAAAACAGATAAATAAGTTAGAAAAGAGGATGTACTGTAAGAATGTGTAAAATAGTTTTTTTTTAAAAAAAAGGAGGAAGTGAGTAATCTTTTTTAAATTTCTGAAGCTGAGGGGAGGTGACCTCTTTCCCTCCTATAAATAACACTTCTAATGGCTAGATATTTTGACTTAGAGGAAGAATTAGGAAACCACTAAATTAGCACAGAAATGAAACTAAACATAAAGCACGAAATTGTTGTAAAATAGGTAGTATGCACAAGCCTGACACGTTTATCCAAATTTTATGTACCTATGGATCTAAGTATCATAATTGTTGTTTTGTTGTGTAAACTATAGACTGTAAAATCATAATATTATGTAACAGCTGTAGCTAATTCTTTGTTCGACATAAGGTTCAACCCTTAGACGCAGGTGGGGCACCGGTGTCTCTTTTATTTATTTTTTTCTGACGCTTTAATTATAAGTAAAGAGAATAATATTTTTTATTCTTTTTGACCTAAATTAAAGCTAAATATTGAAAAAGTATGAAAAATATGTTTAATAAAAATTCTACATCAAAGGGTTAAGAATTTGAATTTTCTTAATTACATTATAAGTTAAAACACAACTTAGAGCCATTAGTCAAAATATCCTATTTTTATACATTTTTGCCACTTATGCTTTAAGCAATTATACTGTAACATGGCTGAAATATTTTAACAAAACTACTATATCTGTTGTTGTTTCCATTGCCTACTTGCCATGCCAGCAACCCTGCTTGGGAAACCAAGCGAATAGCGGTAGAGGTGCATTTCTTATTTTCCAGTAGTGCCATCTAAGGCCAAGAATACAACTTCAACAATACACACGTCACAGCCCATTTTAAAAGGAGGATTCATTCATTAATCCATGTATCGTAATTTTGACCTGAACCAGAGAACAAACAATTTCCAATTCAGTACCCCCAGAGGTTTTGATTTGTTATGGGAACTTGGTGAGCCTGACAGATTTAACGTGCACCAGTCATCATTTAATACATGGTGATTCGTCAGCCTGCTAGATTCGAACTCCCATTCTTACGAACATGAGTCTCACACCCTACCAATTTTATTTAACTATCTTATTTTATTCTTATTATCTCCTTATTTTAATAATAAATCTTTTATGATCAGAAGCCGTTTTAAATACAATGTTTTAGCAATCATTGAATCACAATTTTTTCCTTGAAAAGATCATACTGTGTATAAAGGCATATTTGTAAAAAATAAATTACACAATTGAAATCATTACTTAAACACATATAAACATATTTTATTATGAAAAGTTATTTATTGATATAATACACATTTTCCTTAAATAACTTTTATAATGTACAATATTTTCTCACTAAAGTTTGAACAGCAACTAAAAGTTTTCAAAAAATAAAGCAATGGTTTTTGGAAAATTGTATTTTATTAATTTCACAAAAGTAAAACAAATTTCTTTAAACAATTCACTGAAAATCATAACAAGTCTGAATTGAAATATTTAAAGTCACAATGTTTACAAAAGAAATTTATTAAATATATTATTGAAACTACTATAAAACATTTATTAATGCAAGTAATAAAAAAAATTTAAATAAAAAAATTTATTAAAATATTTTTTTGTATTTTTTGTTTTTATTAAAATTGCACACACTGAACTTCTTATTAGCAATATGACTTGTCACTATACAGAACAGCGATTTTATATTTCAACTTTACGTTATTACTTCTAAATTACTAAATAATAAACTTCACATATTTTGTAAACAAATTATATCCATATTAACTACTAAAAGAATAATTACTTTCATTACTATCAATATATCCAAGTAAGATAAAACACAAATTAAATTTTTATTTAGTGAAAAAAAAAGCAAAAAAAATGGACGCCAAATCAAAAATTCTATATTATTGAGAAACACGTATATTTATCAACATCGTACCTATGATATTGCTTTTTCTAAATACTGAAGCACCATGTATTATGTACTGAAAATGTGATGGTATTAAAAGCTCACTTGATGTAACATTTACACATATATAAAGATATACAGTTGAATATAAATGCCAAAGAATTTCAGTAGACAAAATTACATTACAAAATTTATTTTCATCCCAAAATGTACTTTTTAACTCCTACAAAAAATTACTTTAAACCTTTAATTTCAAAATCTAAATAAGAATAAAAGTATTGCTTACTAAACATTAAATTTGGTTACACTACAAAGTTGTTAATAATAAGAGTTTTAAAAAGTTTACAAAACACTCAGAAAAAAAAATGGAAGCAATAAAAATATGATTATACAATTTTAATTAGAAAATAAAATTCTTTCAATTTTTTAATCAATTATTGATCTAGTAATAGAGAAATTTTGTTAAAAATACACTATAAGAGGTAAGACAACTAATTATGGGCAATGTAGCATATAAGGTTAAAAAAGAGCACATACATGTCAGCTTTGTAGGGAAAATTAATTATTTTAAGACCAAACAAAGGTATGAGTGAATAAGTTAAATTGAAATCTCAAATAAATCATAAAAGCAAGTCCAGCCATACAATTTCACAATAGTAATAGACGCTACTATTTATCAAAAAAATTGTCACTATTCTATTACACAGTGATTGAAAGAGAAAAAAGAATAAAGAAAATTTTAAAAATTATGAGGAATGAAGTTATGCTATTTTTACAAATGTGCTTCAAAAAAAAAAAAAAAAAAACTTTTTCTCCTCTGAATTGTGAAAAATCCCCTGTATTGCATACAAATATACATTCACAGCAATAATTGTTGTTTAAAGAGCTGGCACAAGATTTGGTGAAACATGGAAGTTTTCAGTGTTTATATTTTCTTTTAATGTTACAATAAATAATTATCATTTAAAACATTGAAAGTTTTTGCTTCTTTCTGAACATTTCTTGAAAAAAATGTATATAAATATTATAGGTTGCTAGTTTTTAGAAATATTTTATTAACTGTGAACTCACATTAAACTCACTGCTTTCTATAACACAGCAAAAACTAATTTTTTGATATAGGAAAGTCACTAGCTGATAAATTTTTGGAACGCACAAGAAATATTTCTTTAATGATGTTATAGATTAACTGATTTTATAAATGATACATTTTAAAAACGAAGAAAAAAAATCTTATGAACAATTATGATTTATATATTATAAAATTAAAAATTCATTGGAACAACAAAAAAAATCTTAATTTAAAAAAATTACCATTATAGGGAACATTTTCTGTATTTTAGCTTTTAATTTTGTACAACTTATTTTATTTAGTGCAACAATAATTAAACTATACATTTCACCTATTTTTTTTTTAATTATTGAATGTAAAGAAAACTGTAATTATAATTTAAAATTAAAAAAAAGTACTATTCAAGGTTTTGTCTTGAGCAAATTAAAGAAAGCTTAAGACAATCAATAATTTAAATTATATTTGTGTCAATAATAACAAATATGACATGATAATTTCAAAGCATATTTTTAATTAAAAAAAATTTTTTAAAAAATTGTAATCACTTCTGTCTATACATATGTAATTTTTTCCAAATAAATCCTGTTTTATACATTCAACAGCCCAATTTTAATTAAATGTGCTTACAATTTGAAAATTAAAATGAAAAAAAACTTCATTTTCTGTACCCCTTTTTAAAATTTGGAAGAAAAAAAAACATATTGGTTAAAGAAATATTAAGACAAAAACTTTTTTTTTCTTTTCAATTTCTAATTTTCATTCACAATTTAAATTGTTTTTAATAATTTGAATAAAATCATCAAATCTGTTTTTATAGATACTAAACATCATTAAATAAACTTCACTCCTTAAGCTTAGAAAATGAGAGCAATTTATTCTTTGATCTAAAATTTTTATGAAATTACTTTAAGCAAGTGATATTATAATAGAAGGCCATAATTAGGAAACTCTACATCTTGAGATAATTAAAGTAATCTTAAAACTATCAATGACTTAAATTATATTTTAATTAATAATTTTGAGGTGCAAAAAATAAATAAATAAAAAGAATAATTTTTATTAAAAAAAGATTTGTATTTATTTTCAACTGTCAATACAATAACACTTTTTTTTAAATATTTCTTTGTCTTAGACATTAAAACAAAATGAATTTAATCAAATATATTTACAACTTAAAAACTACAATGAAAGGAAAAAAAACATACTTTTTCATACCCTTTTTTGAATTCAGGAAAGAAATCTATAACTGAAAGAAATATATCAAGACAAAATTCGTTTAAATCAATTTCTAATTTTTATTCGTAATTTAAAATATTTTTAATTAATTGGGTTAAAACCATCAACTCTGTTTTTATAGATACAAAACATTTTATTAAATAAATTTCATTCCTCTAACTTTGAAATTGTAATTCATTCTTCATACTAAGAATTTCCTAAAATTACTTCAAAAGAAGTAACATTACGATAGAAAGCTATATTTAGAAAACTACACATAAAAGCCTTCTAGTAATAGTTTGTATTACCATTAAATAGAAAGCAGTTCCTAGTTTTAAAAATTTTACATTACATAAAACAATTTAATGTGCACATGATATGTTTTATTTTCTTTAAATGAAAAAGGAATAACTAAAACAACATTCATGACATATAAGAATTTATTTTACAATACAAATATAGGTATTTGATAAATTACTTTCTTTATCACAAGGAAGAGTAAGGAATACAAGTAGCTTGAATATTTTTAAAACTGCATAGGGCAAGAATAGTTGCACTACACATTAAAAGTAGGGTTATGGAGACAAAAGAATGAGCTTGACTCCGGTTAGTTACAAGTATAAATAAAAAAAGTCTTTGAACTGGAGATAATTATTAGGACAAATATTTATAATTTTGTGAAGAAAAAAAATATTATTGCAATTATAATTTGCCACAAAATAAATTACGTTGTAATATAAAATGTAATTTTAAATAAATTACTTTTAATTCTAATTGTATATTTAAAAAAAAAAACGTATATGCTCTTTTGTAATAATCCCGATAAAAATTACCTTTTCATTATAATAACTAAAAGATAAAATCCTATTAAATATTCCATAGATAAAATGTTACTTTAAAGCTCATTAGAACATCCGAACTAAGCAGTTCAATCCAATATAGTAATGGAAAGTTTTTATTTTTGAGAATATAATTTCAAAAACACGTGTTAAGCACTTTTGTGCTTCAAAAGATAGTATCATTAAAAATTAATCACTTGATAGCGAAAGTTTCTCAAAAATAATTTAAACTACTCTCTTTTTTTTTTTTTTTTTTTTTTTTTTTTTTTTTTTTTTTTTTTTTTTTTTTTTTTTNTTTTTTTTTTTTACTGTTATGTTACTGGACATCAAACAGGAAATATTTTGAATAAAGGATGAGTGAAAATTTTTCAGCATACATTCCTTAGTCTAAGAGGAAGCACTTCCAATCTTTATAAATTTCATTCTGAAAGGTGTGGGGCAATATTAGGAAATTTTGTTACTTGCTAGTCATAACATTAATAGGTAATAGTAGCCACTTTTTTAAAATTGCATACTTTAAGCAATCAAAAAAAAAAAAAACTGTTGATATTATTAATAATATAAGGCATTTCTTTTGAAGCATACTACATTTCTAAAATAAAAATTTTAAGAAACAAAAAAGAAATGAAGTAATTTCCAGAATATTACAAAATATGCATAATAAATCCATACATATTTAAAAAAATAAAATAAAATGAACATGGAGAGCGTTTATGACAAATAAGTGAAGATGACGAACAATTTTTTAATATCTATTCATTATATTAAGCGGCCCTGTGAAGACTATTAATTTTGCTTTATACCGAAAGAGAAAATAAATTTATGAATCATATTTTTCAAGTCTAAAAATTTGATTTTCGATGTATGAGAAATGCTTGTTTCCTTAAGTGATTTGTTAATATTTTGGTTTTGTTTAGACTTAGCAGGTTCTCTTGTCGTACGTTATTTAACAAAAATTGCTGCTCAAAACATGTTTGATTTAAATTGAAGCGCAATAATTAATTAGTTTAGTTTTTTTAAAATAATTTTTAAAATATAGCACAGTTTTACGAAACTTTAAACAACAGTTATTAGCTATAAGAAAAGATTCATGTATTATTACAATGATCCCAATATGACAACCTCATATAATATTACCCATTTTTATTTGAATGACGAAATTCGGTTGATGTAACAAGCTTTGACTAAATATATTTTGAAATTATTATTTACTTTGTAATAATAATAATATTTACCCAAAACTCAGTGAATATTTTTTACTGAGCATAAATTAGAGTCTTGGAACGGTATCCTTCTTCAGTGTTGAACATTTTACTTACTGACTCCACAGCTCTAGAAAAAGGTCTTATAGTAAAAGGTATTTAAAGTGCACACTCAACACATTGCTGTAGAATTTCTCACCATAAAATGCATTTTTTCTATTATTTTGGAATATATTTCAATGTATCTATTTAGTTTTTAGTTAAAAAAAATTATTGATTCGATTAAAAAAAATTTCATAAATTTTTTTTTAAATAAAACTGCAATCGATACTCAATTTTCAAAATCTTGACAATTAGTAAATTTTATTAACTTTGTTTTCCTATCAGATTAAAAAGATATTACTTATAAAAAAGATTCTCCTTATAATGCAAAAAATGATCTGAGAAACTCTTTTTTTTTTTTTTCAAGTAAGTTTCTGAAAAATGGAGATAGAATTTTAAAATACAATATGTAATATTTAAGTTTGAAAAATTGCATGAATTAATTTTTTTTATGATATTTCTCTTTGTAATCTATTAAGATACAATATGTAATTATTGTAGAATTCTATCGTGTGTGGAAAAATAACTTTCATATTTAAAGTTCATTAACATCATACTCCATTTTAAATATTTTCAATTGAAAAGACAAATTCGGCATTTTTAATAATTAACATAAAATGACTGAAATAGATTTAATATTGGTATTAAAAGTAAAAAAATAGGTCATCCAGAACAGTTCTTAGCATTGAATATATATGTTAAAATGCAGTATATTATTCTTACAGTACTACCTTCATATCTTTAATCATTTCAAACAGAAGGGGGAAATAATATAGAATTTTAATATTTGTGAAAATTAAACTAATAGCGAAATAATACAAACTTTTGTTTAAAACTACTTCTAACGAGGAAAAAAAAATACTACTCTATAGACAAAATATAGCTAATAAAAGATATACCTGAAAATTTAAATTTTTAGTTAATAGTAGATAGAAGCCAGTTTTTTTCTCAAATTGAGTGAGTCTGTGGCCAATATCCTGTGCACAGGTCCTGTACATTTAATAGTCACTTTTTACAAACTTCTTTTTTGTTTGGAATAAATAACGTTTTTTTTTTAAAAAAAAAATTCATAATCAAAATATTACACGCCTATAAAAAAATAATCAAACAATTAAAATAATATAAATATGTGACAAAATTTAGTGAAAGTTGCTGACTTTAAAGAACTTTATTAGTACATACAGACTTTATAGAATCAGAGATCTTCATTCATGTATTTTTATTCTTAAACAATCTTCAAAAGAAAAGAAAGGGGAGAAAAGAAAGGAAAAAAAGATGGGGAAAATGACCAATTGCTAATTAAATTTAGGTCGTAATTTTTTAACTTTTTTTGTTGACTGCTAAGCGTGAATGGCTATTTTCAGGATTTTTTTCTTCATATCAATGTATTTTTAAGTAAATTATATTTTTTCAGAATGCTCTTTATAAAATGAAGTAAATTAGTGATAGAATAAATCCTTCTCTTGACTTAATTAAAATGCATCAATTGAATATCCTTTCCTAAATTCCTTCCTGTCACTTTGCCCTCTTTTAAATTAAGTTTTTATGAATTTTTATAAAAAGAAAAGTTTGAAATATCTCAGAAAAATTTTATTGAAATTTTAGTAAACGCAAATTTTTATTTTTATTCCTTAGACAAATATGAAACATATTACTTTCCAGATACTAAGTTTTGAAATTTAGAGTATATTTTCTTGTACAGCAAAACAGATTTGTTTGAATATGGGTACAGTATGAAATCTAAATAAATTTATGTTAACAATATTTATTTATTTTGTACAAAAAAAAGGGAACATTGTAATGCAATCAAAGTAATGAATTCTTCCATTGTGTTTATTGATAAATTTTGATATAGGGCTAAAGCAAATTATTTTAAGTTTGATATGAAAAACAGTTCTTAAAAAGAGTACAAATAGCATTTATTAATTTTATATAAAAAAAATTACTCATCAGTAAAAGTAATTAAACTAATTAAAACAAATTATGTATTACAAAAGAAATTTTGTACACAACTAACTTGGTACAGATGGCTAGAACATTGCACTAGAAATAAGATCATTAAGATATTGTTTGGTTATAAGGGAAGCACAGAAGTGTAAAGGTATAAGAAATATAAGATTAAAAAACTAAGATATTGCAATTTTGCAAGTAGTTATTATTAATTAGAAAACAAACTTATGAGGATACAAATATTATTTCAAAATAATTGTTTAAAAAATCAAAACACTTTAAGAAAAATACGCTTTAAAGTATAAACAAATACAAATTGATGAGACAAAAAAGGAAAAAAAAAATTTCACACCTACAATTATATCACAGCACATCCATTACTTAATTTCATGATTTGAAGAAATCAAAAGTAACATTTGTTTGTTCAAACATTATCACTAGCTTTAAAAAAAGATCACAAAACAATAAGTGAACATTAAACAAATATTTACAAATTCAATAAATTAATAACATAAAATAAAGTTAACAAAATTTAATAACATACTAGACAGGAAAAACAATGTCACAAACATAAATACCAAATATAAAAACTATAATTAATTTGAATTATATAAATGAATCTGATAAATTTTTATACAATAATTTATTACGTTATTGTAACTATACAAACTATCTGAACACCAATTTCAGATCATTAATAAAATTTGTTTTTTAAACAGAATACTGTAAAGGAGCACCTAAATCAGATAGATTTGGTTTATTATGCTAGGATATATTAAGTGCCTTTCTTACATCAAACATTTTCTATAGAAAAAAACTTTTTTTTTAGGATTTTAAAGTGCATATAAAGATTAAACTAATAATAATAAAATTTATATATCATGCATTTAGCCAACCGTGTTAACATTAAAAATAAATATATGAAAATAGTTTGACAGTAGATTTTTGATGATGAAGATTTAATTTATTTTAAAATAAAGATAATTTAATTCAAAATAAAGTATTTGATGATCAATTCTGAAATACACTTATCTTAATAAAATGTGGATTAAAGAGTATGCATAGTTTTGAAAAATTGTAATTTAAAAGCTATTATACACTCTAAATACAATCACACACAATTACATGAGAGCTTTTACTTACACATTAAAAAACACATTCTGAGTTGAGCATGATACTATTATTAAGGTACACATACCCGTCCAAAATAAACTGCCAACAATTAGCTCAAAAGCCATCCTGCTTTTAGGCGTCAGGGGCAGCAAAATGTGCCAATACATTTCTAAATGCATGTCTATAATGGTACGGTCGAATTTCTGAACATTAAGCATGAGTAACTGCTAGGAAGCTCCTTCCTGAACTATCACTTTTACAGATCTAGGTTGCTGCAAGGATGATGCAGGTCTATTAGAAATACTTAAGTTGTGTACTGGCTGCTCGTTTGTGCCACATATCACATTTTCAGGATTGCAAATTGTAGTAGGCAACATTGAAGAATCAGTGGACCCAAGATTTATATCAGTGTTCAAGTCTTGGAGGGGATACTTTCCAACAAAAGTATTGGCATAAGATGTACCTCCTCCTTGAGATGTCAAAAGGAAACTATTGGGGTATGTTAATTGGGAAAGAGCAAGAACATCTGGTGAATTGAGCAACCACTGGTTATGGTTATTTACACCACCCGTACTAGGTATAAAATTGGCTTCTTCGGTATTATTATTTCCAGCAACGGGGGGCACAGCATAGGTTTGGGCTGTAGAAGAAGGGGTGTTGGAAGATGCAAGGTTATAATACAACGTAGAGAGTAAAGATCCATTAGAAAATAGTTTTCCCTCAGCTGTTCCTTGGTGAGAATTTGCATTAGCAAAGTTCAGGCTAGAAGAAGAGAGATTGGATGTAAATGATGGATCCAGCTGAATCGATTGCAATCCGGACAGTAAATCGGTTTGGCCATTGAGCATGTGTGGTTGGGACAAATCTGAATTTATTAATGGAACATTAATGGAGTTAGAGAGAATAGATGCTTCTGATGCCATAGGAATATTATTATGATCCAGACTTTCAGCATTAATAACAGATAAAGCTTGTGTTAGAGAATTTAAATCACTTGTGGAGAAGCTACTAGAAATAACATTCAAATTATCAATATGGTTATTAGTTAAATCAACGAAAGAATTTTCATCAATTGCACTTGTCAAATTTTCAGCACCCAATAAACCACCGTGAATTTCAATGGCACGTTCAAGTTCTTCAAGGTCTGGCCCATTAGATGAAGACAATTTTGCTAATGATTCTCTAGCTAAATGGACGTCTTTGGAAACAGCCGCAAGTGCTCTTTCTAATTCTTCAGTTTCTTCACGACTAGGGATATACTCTCCATTTCTAGTATCTAAGAGTAAAAAAAAAATTTTTTTTACACAACTAGTATAGAGAAGCCTGTTTTGCAAAGTATCATATCATGTTTTCAGTATCATCTAATGACTTATCGACTACCAAATCTAAAGCAAACGTAATACTTTTCACATTATCCAACTTATACAAGACTGTAAAATGATAATAAACCTATATTGCTAATTTCAATTATAAGACTTATAGGTAGTAAGGCTTAGAAATTTAAAATAATCCTGTAACTTAAACTAATGTTGCGATTTCAGTGACAGATCCTAACTTTTTGTAAAAGGCCTGTTTTTGAGAAACTGTGAATAATCCAGTAATAATTATCATAATTAATCCCAATTTTGTGAAAGTAAAACCGAATTTTAATAAAAATTTACTCATATTTTTCTGAATCCAAAATTAGCATAAAATAGAGTTTTTTGCCTGTTGAGAATAGTTGAAAATAATGTGTGAAAATAAGGTTCTGATTTAGTGAAAAAATATAACAATCATGTCTTTCAAGAAGTTTTAAAATATAAGCTAATAATACCATAATTTTTGCTTTTCAAAAGAAGAATATTATAATATTGGGTCTGTTTATAGGGTTTGTGAATAATCCTTTTATATGCTAAAAAATTTGATGTGTCCATTTTGTTCAAGAATATGGATCACAATGTGTGATCTTTAAATCGTGTAAATACAAATCGTGATGTGTTAAATTAACTTAAGGTGGGTAGAAAAGGGTTTTTTATGGAATAGAGATAGTGGAAACATATTTTTTACTGATTAAAACAGTTGGAAATTTATTTCATAAAACGAAATGCTTCTTTAATAAAAAATATTTTAAATAAATGGAAAGACTAATCTTTGTAAGTAGAAACTATTGGCATTCTTTATCTGTACACAATAACACACACCATATTCATTGCTTAGAATCTTTCTGCTTTAATAATTCTCCTCGAAAGGCAGCACAATGAAGAAAATGCAAGAGCTATCGCAAAGAAGCGAAGGCACTTCTCTCTTATCGTAGGATCAAACAAACGATGTGAAGCACAATTACCTCTTTAAAGTGACTTAAAGAAACATAATTTTACACCATATATAACATACATATATAATGTTTTAAATCTTGCTCAGTCACAGGGTCAAGATGTTTTCATAATGAAACATTTGTTTCATAATTTTATTGATCAGTATCTTATAATTCATATTATACAGTAGGGAACCGATTATCCGGAATGATCGGGACCATCGCTATTCCAGATAACTGATTTTTCCGGTTTTCTGAATCGCTTCAAAAAGCCGTTTTTTTATTGTTAAACCCAACTAAAAAAATTATTATTTGGAAATAATCTCAAAAATAAGAAAAAACGAAGAAGTAACACACTAATGATTATTTCCAAAATGATGGTAAGGTAAACATCTTTCAAAAAAGAAAGTAAAATCCTAAAATCTTATGAGGAAAAAAAAAATTTTTTTTTTTAAATGGCGGGAAAATTTATCGAATTTTGTTCCGGTTTTTTGGTTTTCCGGATAACGGGTTCTGTACTGTATTATTATTTTATTGATCAATTCAATTTATTTGATACTTAATTGATAATTTTATTTTATTTTTTGTTTGGTTACAAAATTTTCCTATTGGAGGCAACTTTTCAATAAAAAAAAACTAATGCTTTATGAAACAAAATAAATAATAAAACGTTCATTTTGGAATATGATAATTGAATAGATTCGCTTAGTGAAATGTAACTTGTAGGTACTTTCTATTGTCCACAGGAAAAAATTAGTTTAATTTCTTTTCAACAAGCTTTCACTCTCAGCCAATCATATCATTACGCTGTATCTCAAGTATCAAGTTGTTATCTCAAGTATCTTTCTATTTCTATATTAAACAGATTTTAGTCTAAGCAATTTAGTATCAAGTTAAATAATATGTGCTTTAAGGGACTGTAAAATTTTTCTGTTTTAGATGGACTCCATATTTCAGACATATCCCTTCTTAGACAGAGGTAACAAAATTTGAATTCCATATTTTACTCTCTCTACAATGTATGTACACTGTTGCATCTGATTATTATAAAAAATTTAAACTAAATGTAAATTCTAATTATACATTACCAACAAAAAGATCATTGAAAGCGTCATCAGGAATTTTATTTAGAACTTCAGTAAAATCATGTTCTTCTAATAATTTAGTTGCTTGATTAGCCAATTCAGCAGTGTCTAATGGTAATTCCAAAGTCTTTTCAATAGCACCTGAAGCAAAAAAAGAAGAAAAAATATTTTTTTTACAGCATTGGTCAAAAAGCAAGAAATTAATAAACACAGCAAATAAAATGTGAACAAAAATAAATTTAATTACCAGGAGAAAAGTCTTCCAAGTCGCTTTCCAATTCAGGACTTAAATCTGTATTCAACTCTTTATTTGAATTAGAAACAGTGATGGTTGTTTCAATAGGTTTATTCGTTTTATTATCAAATGTATTTAAGTTCGGCAAACCTGGAAGGAAAAAAAAACATATTATAAAACAAAATTAACATTTCCAGCAAAAATTTTTTAAAAGTTATTAAAGAAGAAATTAAAAAATCTTTAATTTGGAAAATTAAGTGTTGTAAGACGAATGTAAAGTTCGCGCAGGTTTGCTAATTCATGCCCTTAGTAGGAAAAAGGTCAGAGGTTCTAAAATTGGACAAAAAACAGGAAACTTATTCCAAAAATATGAAGTTAGGTTTTGAATATTAATGACTTACAGCTCTCTAATTATCAGACGTCTTATCAGAAATTATGGCTGATGTTTCCCAAAATAGAAATTTTTTTTATAGTGACGGAGAATTTTGCTAGTACAGTAAGGAACCGATTATCCAGAATGATCGGGACCATCGCTATTCCAGATACCTGATTTTTCCAGTTTTCTGAATCACTACAAAAAGCCGTTTTCTTCATTGTTAAACCCAACTTTAAAAAAAAAATATTTGGAAATAATCTTAAAAAGAAAAAACGATGAAGCAATACACTAATGATTATTTCCAAAATGATGGTAAGGTAAACATCTTTCAAAAAAGAAAGAAAAATCCTAAAATCTTATGAGGAAAAAGAATCTTTTTTTAAAAAATGGCAGAAAAATGTATCGAATTTCATTCCGGTTTTTTGGTTTTCCGATTTCTGGAAGACGGGTTCTGTACTGTAATATTAAAACAAATAATGGAATATCACTGTAGTATAAAGAATTGTACTATTCAGGGTAAAAACCTAAGGAAACCTTGTTGGAATATCAAACATAAGTTGGCAGTCACAAGAAACTGCCTCGCAAATGCATCTAAAGAATTGATTTCTTATTCAACTAAAAAAAATTATGATTTTAAAAAGCCTAGTTAATAACTAAAATAATGAAAGTTGGAAAAAATTCATTGTTGCAGTAACATATTTTATCAAGTAAACATATTTTAAAATATTGTTATTTGGTTTAATTGATTATCTTTTTCAATAATATTTTAGAAGTATCCATGTTGTTTAAATAATTAATGAGGTGTAAAATTCTATGAAAAACAATAATCAATGAAATTATTACCATTTTCAGTTTTAACAGGTACTGGAGATAATGGAGGTAAAGATGGAGGAGGTGGAGGCAATGGTGGAGGAGGGGGTAAAGATGGTGAAGCAGGACGGACAAGAACAGGTTTTTTCTTCTTTTTTCCTCTTTTAGGAGGCCTAGTTAATGCTGATGGCTTTGGTTTCTTGCGAGCTTTCTTAGCTTTTGGTTCTAACGCCATTTTATTATAGTTATCCTAAAAAAAAATACAGTACTTATTCAAAATGGACATCTATAAAAAGAAATTTAAAACAGTAAAAAACAGTTCCTCTATGAAAGAATTGAAATTTCAGACTTATCAGATTTCACACTTAATTCCCAGCAAAATCCAGATAATTATTTCAAAAATAATTATAAAATTTTTTTATAAGGTAAGTATTTTTAAAACAATTAGATAAAACAATTTAGTACAATAAATTTGAAATAAGATGTCATACAATAATAACAATTCTCATATTTTCGAATATGAGTTGATAAAAACTAATTGCTAATGATATAAACCATTAAGGCAGACTATAGAGTCATGTTGAAAATTCTTGAAGTTACTTAAAACCAATTGAAAAATTCTCAATCTTGTTTTAAAACTAACTTCTGCCAAAAATTTTATTTATTTATGAATAATGAACAAAAACTGCTTAATGAATAAGACCTATTTTCTCAATCTAGTCCTATTCATTATTTAAATTCAATTCATTCATCTTACATTTCAGGGCAGCATATTTTCATCGAAGATATATTCTTTTAGTTTCTTATAGGAAACATTTTTAAGAGTTACTTTAATGTAATTGTAAGCGCTTTTTTAAAATAATCATTTTTTACTACTCAGTTTAATTGTAATTGTGCCATCAAAAATAATAACTTCAGTTGTTATAAAGGATTTTTTTTCCTTGCATAATTCCATATTCTGCACTGCAATGCATAATTCTAAATGCCTATAAATGATAGATTTTATACATTTCTTTTAAGATAGTAACATTTATATTTATAGAAACTAATTCCTTTTTTTAAAAGAGAGGTCAAAGTAACTAACTAAAAAGTAACAAAAGTAACTGAGTTTAAAGTAGTAACTGAGTAACAATCTAATTTGTCTAACTGATATCAAATCTTTATAGTAAAGAGAGTTGATAAAATTGTTAAATAAAGTAACAATACTAATTTTGCATTTTAAAGCATTCAAGAACAATTTGTACTCACTCTCTTTTTCGCATGCTCAAAACACAAAGGAAGTTCATGGCATATATCAAACACCGGTACACAACATTGAGTATTATCTGAAAACTTGGCTGTACAATGTTCAAATAAGAGTTGATCAACATTATACATAATATCTTCATTTGATTAAGAAAATAAACCATTTAAATTAAAATTATTTATAACAAGAATTGATTTTAAAAAAAATATGCAGATTTATAGCATTTAAAAGAGAATGAACAGACATTCTTTATTTGTAACCCCGAAAAAAAGACATTTTTGATTTATAATTTAAAGACAGAAGACTTTTAACTTTAGATATTTAAAACAGTTAGGTCATCAGTTGTAAGAATTATCTTTGCTTCTCAGTGAAGTTGAAAACTAACAAGTGTTATTGAAAAAGAATAGTAAATGGGTTGCTTTAAATTATCAATAATAGAGAGATATGTCTGATATTGTTACTACAGTACTAATCACAATGTATGAAAAATAAATTTAACAATGTTACGAATGCAACTGAAAACTTTTTTAAAATTCTATCTTATTTTTGCACAGATTTAATCATGCAAGGTTTTGCAGCTTGGTGTAATCTGACAAAAGAAAAGGATAAAAAAACTATCATATTTAATTTGATTAATAAAATTATAAAAGTCAAGAATGGTATAACTAGTTCTTCAATACCTTGCAAACTGTTAACCAAGCAAATATTATTGAAAGATAAATAAAGCATGTTTTTTTTTTTTCAAAATTAATTATTAATAATAGATAAAAATTTGCCTCTACAACAATATCATAGTTATACTTGTACTCAAAATAAGCAAAAGAAGTGGTGAAAGGATTACCTTTAATAAAAACCAACACTAAACAAAATAATGAAAAAAGGATACGCCTTTTACAGTGCCACGTATAAGGAAGAGCATCATTTGTGCATGAAATATCATCCTTCTTGTAACAACAAGTTTTCTTCTCAACAATAGATGACTTATTCCTACAATAAAAAATAAAAACAGAAAAATTAGAGAAATATGATTTAAAATATAAAAAACACATCAAATTTGAGAGTAACAAAAATTATTTATTAATTAATAACTGTATTTATGTCCAGATTTAGGGAAGGGAAACAGGGATACACCAAATTACTAAGAACTTCCCTATCAATATAATTTAACTTTTAAAAACTTAATGAAAAAGCATATTATCATTAAAGAAAGCAATGAAAGATTCAATTATCTATCAAAAGGTCAAAAAAAGGGGAAGAAAAGAAAGCAGAATAGCAGTTAGCTAGAAAAAAAATCACTGTTTTCAGAATTCAGTTTAAATTTTCCTCTTCACATTAAACACATTTTCTGGCTTCAAAACACATTCAAAACTAAGTCTTATGAAATTTTTATGATTATTTTTCTAAACTAATTTATTTTAAAAAAATATTATTAAATTAATTATAGTTTGATATTATATTTGATTATAAATAACCAATTTATATAAAATCAACAAAAATATGGTTTTTCTTTCATTATGCAAATTTTTTTATACTTTTTTTTTCTTTAGCCAATTACTGTTATTAATTTAATTAAACATAACTTCAATTCAAAAATATTTTTTTTTAACAAAAATTAATTATAATACAAAATTGCGATTTAACTGGGTAATCTTACTCAAGCAAAAATTATACGTTATTCGAACTTTGAGAAGCTATTAGCCAAAAAAACATATTTATAATAAGAGACACAAGCAGAGAGTTTTCTTTCTCCATAAAAATATGGAAATTTCTTTTGGTATAAATGTATGCCCGAATGTGACATCTTCTCGTTGTGGCTCGATCAAATTAATTAAAACATATAAAAAGTAGTACTCATTAAATAATGCAGATAAATATATTTGTCATTCTCCCAATTTCCATATAAATTCACAGCATCATTCTACATTTTTTTTCCAATTAATTATCTATTCACATCTGCTATTGTCTCCAAAAATGGCAAAATTAACTTATCATAAAGTTTCACACTTGGGTAACATCAAAATGGTGATATTTTAAAGTACAAAAATAAATGATTAATGCAGGACGAAGACAAAATAAAGAATGAGCTTCATTCAAGAGTTCCTGGAAATTTTTTTTTATCCTAACTCATTCTAGAATTTCAATCAGTTTTTTCACCTCCCATTTAAGAATATGGGTAGTCACAAATAAATAAAATGATAGAGGTATTCGATTTGACTTATATTGATTATCAGTATGGACAGATACATTTATACAAATTAAAAAATTTAAATTTAATTACAATTTAAAATTTTTTAGGCCAGTTATTGCTAGCGCTACTGATTTCCACAGGGTTTTTAGAATTCTGGTTATTTCTCAGATGATATTATTTCTGCATATAAAATTTGAATTGCACATTTAAATAATCACTTTCGGTAGCAAATCAAAATTTACGCAAATAATATCATAGTGTTTTGATTGTACTTTCTACAATTATTGATTTTGATTTTCACAAGGATTTTAAAATCTAATTTTTTTAATACGATGTTTATTACAACAACTGGATCTCGAAACAAAACACGCATTTGAGTAACCCCTTTTTAAAGAGAGTGATTTCCTTGTCAATCTTTTCTTTTCAGTAGTTGTTGCAACGAATTTCGCAATTTTTGTTTTTTTCAAAATGTGATGATGATTTACAAAATGCGAAAAATTAGTGTTCTTCCCCTTCAAAGAATATCACCCATAATATTAGTATAAAAAAATATTACTTATTCTATTAAAAAAATATATATAAATTTATCCAAAGAGAACTTTTTTTTGTAAACACAACGCTTTTGTCACTTTAAGCTAGTAACATACATATTTGTTATTATTAAAAGTATCTTGCAGAAAGATATTAGTGCTAGAGACGTTTGTAGCAGAAAGCTGAAAAAATTTTGCCACAGGGTTAATGTATAGCATGCATGTGATAAACCCTTAAACAATAGATTAAATAAATATGCATTTCCATGTAATTGAACAGTTTAAACAGAAAACTTACATTTTAGCTTGAGTTGTCACTTGAGGAAACGTTGAATGATTGAATAAAATTTCAGTTGCTTGATTTGGATAAGCTCGGGCAGCCTCGACTAAAGGGTGAATAATTTCCCGTTGCCGCTTCTCCTGTTGCTTGTGCAAAGTACGTAACTGACAAAGTTGATGATAGCTTCTAGAAAGTTCTGATTTCAAATGTGCTTGCTGAATTGAACGAGGTACTGCACCATTAGGAAAACTAAAAAGACACGAAAACTTTTATTAGTACATTAAAAATCCAACAGATATTCTGAATGTAAATAAAATTACAAGACAGTAACAGATGTAAATCAAATTAGTTATGCAAAAAATGCTAAGTTAAATGATGTAAATAAAAGTTAAATAATGTATCATGCGAGGGTTGCTGCTGATTTAACCCTACCTCATCTCCTGGGTGGCAAGGGTTAGTTAAACTTTGAATAATTTAATAGAAGATGTTTAAAAATTATATTGGCCTTTTTTTTCTCTTTTTTTGGAAGGTAGAATCTATTATATCCCTTACTTTACATTCAAAATACATTGATGAATGAGTTTGACAAATAAGTTTTGTAGAAATAGAGTTTTTACAGTATGAGCTAATATATTTGGTTATCAGCAAGACTGGTAGGAACTTTTTTCGGTACTTTTTAATAAGCTGGGAGCAATGAAATTCAAAATTTCTCTTCATTCTACTTAATTTTTATGCATTTTAAAAAATTAATAAAAGTTAGCAGAGATCTAATTTTTTTTTTTTTTTTTGGCAATTTTCTCTTGTGCCCAGCTAACCAATATTACCTCTTTTTCTAATGAAAAAACTTACCATGACCATTTGGGACGAGATTTTTCAGATGAGACTCAAATATAAAATGTTTTGAACATGAATTGTGCAAGAATGTTTATTATGTTATTTTATAGTCGCACAAGAATGTGGCTCAGTAATTCCATGATTTTTCATAGATCTAAAGTGAAAAAGCGCGAGAAGGCAATTAACTTACTAGTGACGAAGAGGATAGCGATTCACCAACGATGAAATTAACAAGAGAAATAAAAATTTCTTTTGCTCTTAGGGAGAAAAAAAATTGGCAATGTTTAGTTGTTCCCTGAGATCAGTGAAAATTCAAAGTGATTTTTCGGTTTGATTACAAAGAGTGGAAAATGAAGCCTGAAATTGAGAATATCTTGAAAAATGCAACAAATGCATGAAAGTGGAAGAATCCTTCCCACCGAATCCAGCTCAAAATACACAAACACAAACCCGATAGTATTTCTTTAAACATGTAAAATTATTGGCACTTTAAAATATTACAGACCCACGGTACGTCTGAATGGATTGTGGTTGAATGAATTGTGAATACATTGAATAGAACAATGTGGAAGTCACACTTTTTGAATAATTCTAAGTGAAAATCGATATGGTTAAGAAAAATTATTTCATTTTGGAAAAGGGAAATTTAAGCACTTTTCAATAAACCAATAAAAAAACACCTTTAAAGGCTTTTAAAAAATGAAAATAAGCACCTTTAAGCACTTTTTAAAAACGTTACATACCATGATAGAAAAGCCTTTTAAACTTAAACAAGTAATCATATATTTACACAAAAAATATAGCTCTCTTTTCCCCTAACTCAATCAGTTTCTTTATATATTTTAAGCTTATATTTTATTAGGATATCAGTTTAATGGTTAATTTTTTATTTTTAAAATTTTCTTTTTGAACCATCATGGATACCTAACAACTGATTGAATTGTTTGTTGGTACACAATCAATTTAAAAAATATGGTGAATAAGCATACTGTCTTTACATTTGTCAAAAAATCACTTTCAGATAATAATATCATGCAAAATTACTACAATGAAAAAATATAAATAAATTAATAAATACCCTAAATTTCGCCCATCAGAGAGATAAAACTTTGATAATTGACTATAAAAATTTATATCATCTTCACTATCACTGCTTTCACTTCCTGAAGAATCAAAACCTAAAATACAGATATTTTTTGAAAACAAACATTAGAACGAAAAAAACAATAAATGATACATACAAAACAGTCTAATGTAAAAAATATTAAGAATATTCAGAATATTAACTGAAAAGTTGGAAACATAATTTTTATGTACATGTAAGAATATAGGTAGCATACAAAATATAATGCGCACACAAAATGTAGGTAGCATAAAGGTAATACTTATTTACTAATGTTTATAAATATAAAAATGCAAAATCAAATAAAATTATCATGATATTTAATCAAAACAATTAATCCATTTTCAAACGGTGGCACAAAAAAAAAATTCTGCCTGGATATTAAGAGTAGCCACTATCTAGGAAAAATATATCATATGGCAGAGATGGCAAATATTTTCCTAATTACAAAATTAATACAGAATTAAAAGTGCAATTCCTGAAATCTAGCTTTTTATTTTACTTTAAAAATTTTGAGCACTATAATTTACATGAGATATTTTAAGAAGTGAAAATATTGTACCATGGAAAAATATGAGTGCAATATTATTTATTACAAACTTTTGAGATTCTCTATTGCTGATTACCTTTTTAATCTGTTTTTAAAAATAGTAATTCTAATTTCTTTTTTTTTTCCACTTCTCTACAAGAAAAATGGAGAAAAAATAGTAATTTTAGCTACATTTGTTAAAAAGAATTTATACACAATTCAGATGTTTCGGATTGAAAATATCAGTGTTTCATAGTAATTAATTTAAAAATATTAGTGAAGATATACGCAAAAATATTTTGTGAACATATTCAAAACATCACAATAATTATGGTGCATTGAATTGGTCCATTACTTTTGTATTGAGCCACCTCTTTTTGTATGAGTGATAAGCATAACTAGTTTCAAGGAATTTATGAACAAAATTTGCAAATAACATGCCAATCAATCATAGCCGCTGTAAGAAATAACATTGCTGACAAAGAATTGAAGACAAGGTATCTGCTTCATTTTAGATTTTTAAATTCATGACTTTTCATGATTTTCCACGACTAATTCCAAGAATTTTTCATGACTTAACGAAGTAGACAAAAACGCAACAATAAATTAAAAAAAGCATTGATCTTTTACTTACTTCTCAGAAATACATATTTATTGTTCTTCTTTCTATCTTTAAGTAACCTTTGCAACTTTCGAAGTGCAACTGGAATATGGATCAATAATAATTTTATTATTAAATTAATAAATTATATTTTACTTACTTCTAGGAAATACATATTTATTGTTCTTCTTTCTATCTTTAAGTAACCTTTGCAATTTTCGAAGTGCAACTGGAATCTTTACATTGGTCTTTTGCAATTTAGCCTGATGAATCTCTGAAACCCCTCTAGAACTTGTATCACTATGTGTTGTAGATGACTTCTCAGGGTCACAAAAGTATTTTTCAGAAGATTCACAAGATGTGACACCAGAAGATAATCTCGAATCAACTTGAATATTTGAAGGTGGATTCGGAGAAGGGATATAATTAGATATTAAAGAGTCTTCAGATCTTGCTTGATCTTCTGAGTGTTCTATTTTAATTATTAAATTATTCTTTGGAAGAACAGGAATCATTTTAGGATCTGATTCACTAGATTCAGAATTAATACTGCCTATATCTATTGGGGATGAGGGACTACTTTTATTGTTTCCCATAGACGTTAATTGTGGATTAATTAAAGACATTAAACACTGACTAGCATCTTGAGTTTTTTTCTGTTTATCTAATAGCTTATTTTGGGCAATTTTTGCTTGCAACCTATTCATTGTTTTGGATAAAGTAGGTGAAGTGCTCTTTATTGCATTGTCTATGGAAGGAGGGATTTTAATTAATGTTTGCTCAGTCTTTAATTTCGACTCTAATGGTGACACATCAGAGGAAATTTTTTGTGATGAATTCCAAGCATTTCTGAGAATGGGTGTAGCTGAATATCCAATAACACAATTTTCGCTTTCAGAAAATGTATCAGGAAAGGCATATGGATCATCAGAATTAAAAGTATCATCATTACATGTCTCACCATTTTCTTTAGTTAGTAAAATTTTTAAACGTTCAGAAAATTTCAACTTTCCTTCAGGTTGTACTTCTTTTTCTTTTTTAATTTTACGTTCTTTTTTTGGCAGCATCCCAGCAACTTGCATATGACTGTTGCAAAACCTGCAGAAGAAAAGATCACTTTCTCAATATATTTCAACACTTCAACAACAACTCAATATATTCAACAACACTTCTTTTTACATAGTAGGAATATAGACTTTGAAAATGGTTAATGAAGCTATTTTCTACCACTCTAAATAAAAAAAAGCATATTATTTTGAAGCACAATGATTATAAAACTAAATTAGTTTAATGAATAATAATAAATTTTGTTCATTAAACTAAAAAGATAATTAAAAACAAATACTGCATATTTTTGTCTAACAAGGGAAATAAATATCTGAAAAATTTTGACTGAAATAAAACCAAGTTTAAATTAAAGCGCATGGTCAAAAACAAAGAATGGAGTTCAAATCTATAGTAATAGCGGTCTATTGGTGAAGATATGATCCTTCAAAGTTTCAGTTTATTCAATATAAAATAATAATAAAACCAAAGGGGATTTGCCTTCATTGTCAAATGGTGAAGACTCCTCATGAGAATTTTTAAAGTCTCATTAGACTTGCTTATGAGAATTCTCAAATTAAATTTCCTTCTTACTTTTCTTTGTTTATTTAATATTATACACCAAAAACCTATTTATATACTTTAGTGGTAAATCTTCAATTTTTTAAACTGAAAAATTTAGATTTTATCTTTTGATTTGGAATACATTTTTTTTTAAAAAATCATTAATTAATTTTAATTTTGGTCTGAAATTCTTTTTTATAAAACAGAATATTTGAAATTTTTATTTAAATTAAATTAGAAAAATTTATATATATATATATATATATATATACTTTTTGTGTTAATATGTGTTTGTCATGNGAGACAATTATTACTTGAAAAACTACCTGGTTTAGCAAATTAAAACTACTGAGAATATACATTAATATTTCATTTCTTTTAATAAATACTGTTATGTGATTTATAGTAAATATATCAGTAATATTACTTTTTAAATTATATTGAAAACAAAAACTTTAACAATGGACCGAATCATTATGTTCATATCATAGTCTAATCTAAGTAGAGCCCTCTGAAACATATCAATAACAGTGAAGTAGAAATATATTGTAACTCCTTAACATACAAAAATTGCTATTTCAGTTTGAAAAATTACATGACAATCAACAACTGATTAGATAATTGTTTTTCATTTGATAAGAATTTTGCATTTTACAGCATAAATAACAGCAATTATAAATAAAATTTTGATGATGAGTTAATTACTCTTTTAAAAAAAAAAATATAATAAATAAATTAAATCCCTTTTTAAGTGATTGCTTTTGTTTGCTATATCTTTTATGTTTGTTATAATCAGTCGTTAGTCCATCTTCAAACATCTTGTGACAAATCCTATTTTTTCTTCTTTGCAAGCACAGAATGTAAGTTTTGAATATATTCCCTTCCAGTTTCTCTGATGTTGTAACACTTACATATACTAATAATCGTCGTTAGAAGAACAGTCACCTTTATAGTAATTAATTTTTAAAAAATTACATCTTACAAGAATCGTGATAGTTGATCTTAAAATTGCGTGAATATGAATAACAATTATGGATTTTGAAATCACATGAATATGAAACAAGATATACGATTTTAAAAATGAGAAAATAAAAACTGGGATATAGAATTTTTAAAACGCGTAAATACAAATCACGATTCATAATTTTTAGATAGCCTAAATACGAATCATGATGCGTAATTTTTAGATTGCATAAATAAGAATTATGATTCATAATTTTTAGAGTGCGTGAATGCGAATCCCAATGCCTTATTTTAAAATCACGTATAGATACGAAAATCAATGGTTGATATTATAAACCGCATGAGCAAATCAAGACATTGAATTTTAAACTTGAGTGAATACGAATCGCTACATAGGTTTTTAAAAAGGCGTAAATATGAATCACAATATCGGATTCTTAAATCTCGTAAATAAGAATCGCAATGTACAATATTCAAATCGCGTGAATAAGAATCGCAACACGCAAATATGAAAAGCTATGTTTGATATTAAAATCGTATGAATAAGAATCGAGATATTAGCAGATTCCAGGCTTGGGACATTTAAAAGGTTTGTAAGAAGCAGCGTCGTTTGAACTACGAAAATCGGATTTATCTGGAGGGCGGGTAAAAAATTCGGTAAATCTTATCTGCTGCGTGTAAAAGGGGAGAAAATAGCTAAAATAAGTAAAAATGAGAAAGGATTGGTAGGTATGTAGTTCGAATTTTCTGTTTCTCTTTGAAAATCGGTGAATTTTCTGAAAAAGCAGAATACCTATAAAAAAAAGTGAAATTTTTAGAAAATCTGAATTTCTGATAAAAAAGCTGAAATTCAAGAGATAAAAGTGAAAAAAGCGGAAATCCGCTAAAAAGCGGAAAAATCTCATCCCTGACATATATATATATATATTCATTTTTTAATTTTTAATCTTAATAAATCCTCTTAAAATATGTTAAATTTACCACACATTAGTCAGTTGAAATATGTCAATAAAAAGGTGATTTAATAAAATGCTAATGTTTGATCCTTTCTTTAAAATGAGTACTCAGGAAACTATTAATAATGTGTCTTAGAAAAATCACTCCATCTCATGTGATATTTTGTAACAAAATTGTATTCTTAAAAATATGAGATATTGTATTCATATTATTATCTCATAAAAATATGAGAATGTCCAAATTACATTTATGTGGTGTACAATAAAAATGAAATGAAATAATTTTACAAACAAGTTGTTCAATTTAAGAAGGTTTATCATTAAAAAATTTATAACTAAAACCATGTACTTACATTACATGCAATTAGAACTTTTCTTAAAATTGAAAATTAACTCTTTTAAACACTAGACTAAATATAAAAATTAAAAACTTTAACTTTTTTGCTTAATTTCATTTTTCACTTTTATGCAAGCAACGCCAATGAATAAAGTTAAACAATGACACTAAATTTAATCAAACAAATTACTGAAATTTGTAAACAGATTACTTACTCTCTATTCTCATTGGAAGGAATAGGATTGGTACATTTTTGTTTATTGTAGCGGGCAACATGGGCACACTGTTTGAAAGGAGCAGATTTATCCTCCAAAATATGACGTATGCAAAACGCATAGCCATTGATACGCTTTTGTTTGCAAAGCTTGGCACTATAAGAACACAGAGGCTTTTTATTCACAGGCGAGAAATGGATATGTTTCCCTTCAAACATCATGAGTCAAATCTTAAGACAGGCTCACGATTTGCCTGCTGTTAAAGAAAGCTAGTAAAAGAAGGAAACACAATAAATATATTATGAGTAAATAACAATTAGAAACAATACATTTAAACTATTTTGATAAGCACATTGCTACAAAATTTAAATAAAAACATTCAATACTATATGTGTGATTGTTCAATCACATAAAAAGTTCATAGACATTTTATTCCAATTATAGTTTTATTTTAATGGGCGATATGCCTCATTTTTGTAATTGAAATATATGATTTGTAAGCAGCAAAAATATGAATTCTGATGAACAAATTAATAAGAAATTATAATATGTGATTTTTAAGTTTTTACAATACAGATCAGGATGCAAGAATTGTAATAACATGATATATAAATATAAATATATAAACAAACTAAATATATAAACATAAATATAATAACAAGCAAATATTATAACATAAATATATAAACAAAGTAATATCAATTGTGTTGTTAGATTTGTAATTACCATGCTGGATTATATCATTTCACCCCAGGACATATTATCCACAAACGACACACTGTGCTTTGTTTATAATGATATTACTCTGTGTGACTAGTAAACTGCCTTAATACAAATTGGAATGTTGGCACATCATTTAAAATGACAGCAGAATGTCATTGAATTCAGAGAAAATAAAAATTCATGACCACAAACATTAATCAATTTGTGAAATTTCACTATCTAATTAATAGAAAAAATGTCAGTTAAAAACTTTCAGTTGAGAACTAAAAAATTTTTAAATAATTTAATATTTCAGAAGATAAAAAGCTCAAATTATTAAAAAAAAAAATTAAAACATTAATTAAATTTAAATGTATATTATGAATAATGAAAAGTAAGTTTCTCATTTAGATAATCAATTAAATTTGGGATCAGAAAATATGTTAAAGACATTCAAAAATATGTACAAGAGAAATAAGAAATATGAATGCAATAAGGCTTTATGAAAGGGCAACAGAGTTAAGACTGTAGAAAAACAGAGAATTACTATAGAGCAGGGGTTTCCAACTTATATGAGGCTGGGGGATGCAATTAAAACACCAGTCATATGGCGGGCCGCAACTTTATCAAAATTTTATATAGGACTCTTTTATGTTTGGCAGAAACATTAAATATTAATGTCAGATTTTTATAAAGTTGTATAAAACAAAAGTATTGAATTACAAATTAAAATAAGTAGATTTTTACTTGAGAAAAAAAAAATTTTTTGCACTATTGGTTTGTTAAATACCACAGAAATGAAGAAATTAGGGGTTTTTTTAACGAAGAAAAGTATTTTAAACTCATATAGATTTTTTTACGAAAAATGTCGGCAAAAATGACAAGAAATATATTTTAGTTCGCGGCCGGATGTGGCCCGCGGTCTGCCAGTTGGTAACCACTACAATAGAGTAACAGAATTTAGGGACTTTTAACAGGAGGGCTGCAATTGATAGGTGGTATTTTATGTGCCCAATGACAGTTGTATGCAAACATAAAATGTTTTAAGTATGGGAACTGTATTCTGATCGATTTTTTTATTTTTATGACTTTCAATTATATTAAAACCATTTAGACTCAATGGCAACCTTATTTTAAGTTAATACTATAATTACTACGAAAAAAATGTTTCCATTTTTCAATCTATGATTTAAGGTTATGATTCCCATTTTATAATTTTGAATGTAACAGATGTAGTATAAGGAACCATTAAGTTCCTTATACTACATCTGTTTACATTTTAAAAATAATTCATATTTTTTGAGAAAATAGTCTCTCCTAAAGTTTAGTCTGGCTAGTACCTTTAGAATTGAAGTTTCCTGCCTTACTTTAAGAACATTAGCATTATCTACATAAAATAAGCAAATATAATTCAATTAAAGACTGCAGTTTCTGAATATTAAAGCAAAGTGAGAAAAACATTAACATTTAGGTACTATGAAAAATATGTTTAAAACCAGCATTCAGATTTTATGTAAAAACAGCACGCATGAAGTATTGAAACATTTATTAAACATGCATGAAAAAAACCCAATATGCATTGTCAATATAATATTTACCTACTAGGGATCCCTACTTTTAGGATTGATTTACATTTTGAGCTTGTTTGATTCGCTTATTGGACACATGGCAGATTTTAAATTATACGACACAATGCGACAAAATGCACCCGATTGTAATCTGAGATACCGGGACTAGAAAGATACTTTGCAGAAAAAAGCCAGCGTTTCCACTCAACAACACAATAGCATTTATGTCAGCTTCGATATAGCAACATCAATTATGGAAACGACATGCCAGATGATCATCTCTGCATCCCATGAAATAATACAAGTATTTTTCCCCTTTTGCATATGCTTTTACTCTTTGTCCGTATTTCACTAAGGAAACTGGTGCCTGTTAAAATTAATACATGGACGTTTTTCATTCTTAACTTGTTTTATACATTTGTTTTTTTTCCCCTAAACTTTCTGCTAATATGGTCTTCAAAAAAAAATAAATTATACAATTACACTTAATATTGTATTATCCACAATAGATAAACATTTGTCCTAAATTTTTGATAAATCTAAAATTATTGTAATAATACATAACATGTTACAAAAAATCTATTGTTTATAAGTTTTTCCACTTATAAACTACAATGGATATCATCACAAGCAAACCTCTTTATTTACAACATTAACATTTATTTGAAATTTATAAACATTGGTGGGATCACTATTATAGTTTGTTTTGAAAAATCTTTAAGAAAATCATTATAATTTCTACTACATCCACAAAATTATCAAGCAAGCTTTTAATAATGATTTTGTTTTAAAAAATCACTATTCACAAAGATCAGCAATAATTTTTTTTTTCTGGCTCAAGCAAACCATATCAGGGAAATAAACTGAGCTATCTACTGAACTATCCGACATTGACGTAATCGCTCCATCAAGTCGTTAGTTGATTTGACTACAGTCGCGTTGTTTAATGATAAAGCCTCTCATAGATCAACTTGCATAACAAGAAATATCAAGCACAAATACATTACATTTGAAAGGCTTATTAGATTTCTTTCCATTTCATGCTTATGACTGCTTACTTACTTAACATTTCAGTCATTTGCCAGTTTTTCACAAATGTGAAAAAAGAAATCTCATCAATTTGAGAACAATATATCTACCAACAAATTCAAACATTAGTGTTTTATATAATATATATATGTTTCCCCTAAACATAAAGTCCAAAACTACAACACAACAGTTAACAAATATTCGCCATCTGAATTGTGGGTATGACAAGAGCAATTTGCAGTCCAAAAATGTATTCAAGTGCTTGAAACCTACAATTTTGAAAATAGCCTATGAAACCAACTAAAGACTAACTTGAAACTAATTTGAATTCCATTAATTGTTTTCTATAAAATATATTCTTAATAACATGATCCCCATTTTAAAAATGGTTTAATGAATATTATTAACTTAATAATGCTAATTTTTCAAGCTCACAGCATTAAATCTATAGTATATATTAGCTTTAGACAGTTGAAAGAAAGGCTTTGGATAGTTTCCTTTTAGATTTAGACAAATAGTACAATATTTAAATTCAAACTACATTAGAAACAAGCACTAACAAAATAGATTAGACATTTAGTTAACTATATTTTAACAACATATTACCTCCATTTCATAAATTTTCACAGCATTTTACTTGGATTTCATTCTCTACAGACTTAAACAAAAAAGAAACGTGAAGAAATTGTAGATTTCTAAAAGTAGAAAAAAACATTGAAAATTAATACCATTTTCATATCTATATAAAAAGAATTAATTATTTTTCTACAATGGCAAATAGATATAATTAGTAAATCAAATCAATATAAAAATATTAATTGATGAACATTAATATTCTATCAAATGAAATTTCAGTTATTATACAATAAAGGTTGACTTATCACTGTTAAAAATAGATTTATATTGTTAAAAACCTATGATAACAGTGAAAGAAGAGAATAACATAAAGCAAAGTAAGCTACAAGTAAATTTTTATTAAGTTTTAAAAGCACATTTAAAGTGAATGAAAAATTTAAATATTAATTTTATTAGAAATATAAATTATAATTCAATGACATTATTACTTCAATTTTAAGACTTCCTCACTTATTTATTACTTATATAATAATTTTAAAATTCATTGGAAAAAAATAAATAATAAAATTTAAAATTAAAAAATTTAAAAAGTAAAATTAAATGTACCTAAAGCTTAATTTATGTTTTTAATATAGTTTCTTTTATGCTTTTTTAACAAATTAATTAAGGTTTTAAGAGTTTCCAATAAAAGTTTTTATCAACACTGAACAGCTTACAAGCTTCAAATCAATACATAGAAAAATTTTACATTACTAATGTATTCAAAAAAATAACCAGAATCAAATTCCTTCACATTAATATTTATTAAAATTTTTAAAAGAGTTTAAAATATTCATAATCAATTAATTTTAAAGTAGAGTTTCAATTCTCTTGAAACGAAAACACAATGAATGTGCCAATTAACATTTTTGCAAAAAAATAATAATTTTAGTGGGCAATTCTTTAATACATAATTTAAAAATTCTATGATATGATTACTGTATGACTGGAAACAATCTTTTGTAAAATCACATGATGTGAATCAGTAATTGTAAAACTACAAAACTCCATCTGAAAAGATTTGCGATTGCATTTGTTGAGAATAAGAAATAAACATGTCCCCTGAATTCATAATCATAAATATTTAATAATGTAAAATTATTAATAGAGTTTTCTTTTAATAGAATGACCGAATTCTCAAAAAGGTAAAAACAATTAATCATCTGGTTAAAACTATATGCCTGAACAAGGTATATAACTTATACTCTACCAGTTAGGCATTAAGTTATTAGTAGTATGGAATAATAATCTCAAAATTTACAATCAGTTTTGTTAATATACAGTACAGAACCCGTTATCCGGAAATCAGAAAACCAAAACACCAGAACGAAATTCGATAAATTTTCTCGCCACTTTTTTTAAAAAGTTTTTTTTTCCTCATAAGATTTTACGATTTTTCTTTCTTTTTTTAAAGATGTTTACCTTACCATCATTTTGGAAATAATAATTAGTGTATTACTTCATCGTTTTTTCTTATTTTTGAGATTATTTCCAAATTTTTTATTAATTTTTTTAGTTGGGTTTAACAATAAAAAAACGGCTTTTTGTAGCGATTCAGAAAACCAGAAAAATCAGTTATCCGGAATAGAGATGGTCCCGACCGTTCCGGATAATCGGTTCCCTACTGTACAATAATGTTCACCAATTAAATAAAAAAAATTATTAACTTTGTATTTTGGAATAATATTTTTAATGTTCCTAGCAATAGAAATTAAAAAAAAGTTTTAGATTTTTTTAAATATTAATGAAGTTGTAACTTTTTTCGTTGCAAAGGAGCCTTTTGGCTGCCAGCATGGCTAAAACATTCCTTGTGAAGAGAGATAAATTTCTTATTTTTCTTGGGAGGAGAGAACCTGGGCAAATACACAGTCATACCTCTATAATATACTAGAAAAATATTTGCGGAAATGTTTCACTATTAACTAAAAAAGAAAAAAAAATCTGCCTATTTAAAGAAAGTTTGTCTTTTTTTAATACACACACAAAAAAAAAGAGACCAATTTTAACACTTTTTCTTACCAATGCGAACAAGATTTAAAATTAAATTAGCATGATGTTAAATCAGACATTGTGATCTCTATTTATGCAATATATCAAATATCGTATTCACTAGATTTAAAAGTTGCTATTAAGATTTGTGTTCAAGCGACTTAAAAATGATACATCTGACTTAGCATTCACATGATTTTAAAATCAAACACAGAGATTCGTATAAATGTTATATTAAAGTCAAATATAGATATTCATATTCATGCGATTTTAAAATTAACATCGAGATTCGTATTAACACGACTTTAAAATCAAACATTGAGATTCGCATTCAATAGATTTTAAAATCAAATATTGAGTTTCGTATTCAAGCACTTTTAATATTAAATATGGAGATTCATATTCACGGGATTTAAAAATCACACATAAAGATTCATATTCATACAATTAAAATAAATAAATAAAGCACTTCTTGCATCGATATTTTCATAAAAACTTTCATAACATTCTGTGGATAATTGCTTCCTACAAACGCCTTTTTCATTCTCAGATTTCAAGTAGGTATTTCCTTCAATTATTTAAAGAGTGTTTTTGGATTTCTATTTTTAGCTTTTTTGGTTTACCTTATTCATTACTGTTATATGAAGCACTATTGAGTTCTATTAAAATTTTTAAAAAATCTCTGATTACCAAACTAATTTTATTAGATGGCAATGAAAGGGTAAAAACTATTTACAAGAATAAATTCATGTGAGCAGGAAGATTTTAAATTGAGATTTTGTGTTCACAGAAAACTTTTCACTTTACCTAAGTCTGTACATATTATAGCTTAAAGATATTGAAATAATTTTTTTTCTCCACACACAGTATGATAGAAAATATGTAAACATAAAATTTGTTTTAAAAAGCTAACACGCAAATAAAATCATTATACAGCTTCATATGATTTTTATTGGGCAGTTAAAAAGTATGATTTTTATTAGTACTCATTCCTTTTATATCAATAATTTTCAGTATTCATAACTCCTTTTTTATCATTCTTAAGTTATATTTTTAAAAAAAACCTACTTAAGTATGGGCCTTATTGGATTTTTTTTTTCCTGAGCTCACACTCTCAGGGCCCTGTTCTTAATTTTTAAGATGGCTTTAACAACCAAAAATAATAACATATCTTATAGGATTACCTTCTTCTACTTTATAAATATGTGTAAAAACATTAAGATTTCAGGATTAAAACAAATTCTACGATTGATCTATTTGAATCTGCTTTTATAATGTTTAATTGTCAACTCATTGATCACTTATTCTTATAATCATAATAGAGGAAAAAATTATATGTAACCGAAAGTCCATAAAAAAATCGAAAACAAACATATATAAATAAAATTCAAAATAAACGTTCATCCATTAAAATAATACAGCTTTAGTGGTTAGTTTTATAAAACGTCTTAATAATTGTCCGCCTAGTCCCGAAATGTTCAAACAAATCAAAACCATATTAAAAGGGAAAAAATCCTCTGATTACGTCACATATCAGTAAATGTTCTGCCAAATTATGCTATTTTAAAAAAAGTACATATTCAAGATTTAAGCCATTATTTAAAGTCTCAAAATGTAAACATCAGAACACTCATTCAACAACGTTATTGTTTACATAAAATTCAAAATATACATTCCTAAAAGATCCATCGAACCTTTGTCTAATCAATCAATAATTGTGATAAACTATTTTACTTTAAAGATATTCTGCTTCAAATACAATACGTTGAGTATATTTATTTAATAAAAACTTATTTAAAAAGACATGAAAAGATATACACCAGTGTTAAGCCTACGTCCTGAAGAAATCTTTTAATTATCAAAAATATTAGATAATTAGGTTCATCACACTTACACAGCTCAATTAAGTTTTTTGCCTTGATGGATCATGCAAAATTAACATAAAATATTCCACAAAAATATCCTATATGACACATCAACTATATATAAACAAACAAATTTTTAGTCCATCACATACTGCCAGAGATCAATCACAACAAATAATATGGCGGACTATTTGTTTTTTGTTATTATTTGCTTTCTAGCAAAATTTTCTCATAAGAAAATAATAAAACTTAATTTTGGCAAATAAATAAATAAAATAGCACGTAACGAAAAATTCTTAAAATTTTAAAAATCTTAAAACATCAATTTCAACCAAAAATTTTTTGGCTTATCATATAGCACATACTTTTCACTCATCTTAAAGTTTTTGGTAGTATGTTGGCAACAGTCTTCAATATATCGACATGAATGAATATGATTGGCTGTTTCTTTTAAAGTTTTGAGTAGATAAGCCCCTTATAAATTAGTCCACTTGATCTAGCTCGAGTGCTTTCAACCTTTCATTTGTAGAATAAAAATTGGGGAAAAAATATTTAAAAAAATGAAATAACATTTAGGGAATTTTTTCCCCATTAGACTAGATTATAAAAGAGCTCGAATTTCTGTAAGTTTATAGGAAGGTAAAAGAAAACCAGATCCTAAAAAATAAAATTTTATTAATTCCGTAATTCACAAAGTCAAATTTATATGTCTTTTCAGTTAAATTTCGTCTAATTTCAATTATTTTTTAAATTTTAGTCTGCAGTTCAAGAACTCTATAAGAATTGCGGTTAGCGTTTCTCTAGGGATAATCACTCTTTTTAAATTTAACTTTCTTAAATATTACATTCATTTTTATGAAGAAAAAATTAACAAGAGCTTAATTTATAACAAAGAGTGAAGCAAAGACCAATGTGAATTAAGTACAGAAATAGTTATTATAGTTTCGTTTCTATAAACAAGAACCTACCTCAGTGTCCAAACATAACAAAGAAGATTATAGTTTAATGTGTGCCAATAGGTTGTTTTCCTAAGAAAAGAAATTAAATAAACTAATGGAATATGATGGATTTTATTTGGTGATGGGCTATAAACGTTGTCATTTAAAAGCTTTTACTATATTTATAATTGTTCAAACATTTTCTACCAGTTTGAATCCAAATGTAAAGTATTTATTAGGATAAGCATTTTTCCTTTTAGTTTAAAAAATTGTAGAATCCGAAACATAAATAATTTTTTCAATGTTTTTAAATTATAACAAAATTAACTCTGTAAATTTGAGGTAAAGACAACAAAAATATAATTATGAAAAACCTATGAAGCATTTGAATTCAGTGAATCCCTGCTACAGCGCATCTAATTAGCTAAAAAAGACAACAACAAAAATTTATGAGTAACCTAAAATGGGCAATTTTCTAGTGCATAAAAATGATAGCAAAAAGTTATTCCTGTTGGTTTAACAGATTAATTTCGTCATAGCAGCTAACTAAAACCAAATAAAGTTTTTTTTTTTTTTTTTTTTTGTTACTTAGAAAAATATTTGCACTTCTTTATTCAACATGCATTGTAATATTGGACATAACAAGTTTTTAAAACTTGTTAACCTATCAAATGCAATTTATGAATTTTAGCATAGTAGTACTCCTGTAAGGGATGTTTTCTAAATAAGAGCCATCCTCTATTTAAGAGACAATTCTGTTGGCCCCTATCTCTTTGAAAAGGAATCTCGACTGTTAATAAGGGACGTAATAAAAATTTTTTTTAAATGTAAGGCAAAGAAACAAGAAATAAATATTGAAATAAAAACATTCAATGCTTGTTATTAAAGTGAAAAAAAATTTCGATTTATGAACAAAGCTAGACAGATGAAAAGAGCGTAAATCACATAGACATAGTATAGCCTTAGCCTCATGACGAAAAACTTTTATACATGTTGAAACTGAGGAAAATTAAAAAGTTCACAAAGATAAAAAAGGGTTGAAAAATAAAAGGAGATAGGAAACAGTGAGAATCATAGGTATTGCAAGTTTAAAGAATAATTATTTCCAAACATTTGGAAAGAACCTATATTTTGATGATTCCTACTATAACAGAAAAAAGAATTTTTTTGTGGTAGAGATCAGAAAAAAGTGGAGTAGCTGCTTCACTAAGCTGGAATTGCCCTAATGGTATTGTGGGGTTAAAAATGATCCACATGAAAGAAAAGATCCGATGACTGGACCACCCAGTGATAATGAGGAATTGCAAATGTACAAGAACATTCCACTGTAATGAAATATTCTATTATTTTCCAGTTACATTGATATGCAAGTTTAATTCTGTGTGCGTGTGTGAATTGTTTGCTATCTACGATTTGCAACAAAACTCATTGAAGATTATTTTAAATAAATTTTTACATAACTACATTTAATGCAGTTTTGCAAAATTAAACTGTAATTTTTTCAAATAAAGACCTGTAACTGTATCATTTGTTTACATGATTTATTTAAATCTTCAGATAAATTTCCTAAATTAAATACTTTCTTTTTTACGTAACCTTTAAATTAAAAAAATTTTCTCCAGGAAACACCCTGCTATTGAAAAATGCTTATTTTCTGGGAACTCTACATAAAGATTTTACAATTTTACCATAGTGTAACAGATCAACTCAGATTGCTGTGATATGGAAGAAAAAAGTTAAAGTAAAAAACAAGGATAAACACAAATACAAAATATGGGACATCAAATTTAAAATGATTTTAGCCTTTTTTAAAAAAAATTTCAGTTTAAGACTTGAATTCTTATCACGCTCCGAGGGCAGATTTAAAAATAAAAAGATTTTCAATTTTTAAAGTTTTCGAGTTCATGATTTTTTTAAAACCAGAATCAAATGAAACAAAATTAAAGTTGATAGGACTCGTTAAAAAGTTTTCACATTTAAAAAGTTCAGTTTGCACCAGCACATATTTGCAAATCTAACATAGCTATTTAAGCAAGTGAGGTATTGTTGTTTCCTAACGATTTTTTTACGCTGAATCAAATAAGAACAAAACAAAATAAATGGAATAAATAGTTAAATTTTTCAAAAAAAAGTTTGTTTAAAAAATACATTTTTTTACTTACCTACTTATGCATGTCATTGTTTTGTAGACATATGAGGGATTTTTTTTCACTCTTATTTCTTATATTTAATAAAAAAATCAAGTCTAGTACTACTAGTTTAAAAAAAGTGAATGAAAATTTTGTTGACCTATACCAGGGGTGGCGAACCTTTATACGCCAACGTGCCAGTTTCTCTAAAAAATTGCTTAATGAGGTCATAGACGTGCGGTCAAATAATTTTGATTTTGTGATTATTGGGAAAATAATAATACTAAATACTATCAACTCAAAACTCTTTATTTACATTGAAAAAAAAAATACATTTTGCAATGTCTCAGTTATACCCGTGATTCAACTTAAAGTAATATCAGTGTGACTTCTGTTGTTGCAGATTAGATGACCAATAACTTATATTAAGTTGTAAGATGTTAGTTTAAGCAGGACTGTTGATTTTTTTCGCTAGTTATTTATTGTTAGCTTGTTTTTTACGGGTATTAATTGTTTTTCAGTATTAATTTTTTTATTAATAATTGTTTATTATTTTGTTTGTTTTTTGTGAATTTAAATTTAATTGTTACATATGCCTCATAGCGTAATAACATTTGTGGAATAACGATTCATAGTGTTAACAATTATGATCAGTGCAGTGCCCAAAATATTGTCGCGTGCCATTGGTTCGCCATCCCTGACCTATACAATTAACTCTTAGAAACAGTACAACTTTAAAATCATTCATTCTATCAATTAATTGCTCTAAATAGCAATGTGAGGGAAATAGGTGCAAACACAAAACTAAACTTTTTTTCACACATAAAAGTTTTTTTAACTTAAAACTATTTAGTCTATTGATTGCGTTAGATTCTGCACAAAAAACACATAAAGCTCACTTACCTATATCATATAGCAGCATCAGATACCATTGAGATATTGACAGAAATGTACTTTTTATTAATAAACAATTGGTACTATTCATTTCATTTGATTTAGTGTAAAAAAATAAAATAAAAAAAGTCATCAGAGTAGTCTTAAGTTTTCCCACTCTGCAATGAATTCTATTTCATTCTTATTTGCAGAGTCCCACAAGAAAATTTATTAGTCTAATTTTATTTTTTTAACTTAAGGAATTTCCAAATTAGGTTTTTTCAGCAGTAGACTTACGCACACGACATACAGAAATTTGCTATCTCATAATAAGAAATAAAAGGGGCAAATTTTACACTGAGATAAACAGTATTTTAAAGTCACAAGACATCACAGGTTGAAGATCAGATACAACTTGCTATATAACCATTTTAAGTATGATTTGAGAGACACACAAAATCGAAATAATCGAAAATCCACATGGTAGCACATAATACAGGTCTTATACATGTAAGACCTTCTTTTATCTCTATTGGGTTATCCTCTCTAGAAATATTTCACTAGAGAATTTCACTTTATCTTTGATCTATAATTTGTGACAGATAGCAATTTAACCAAAAGCAGTGCAACCAGATAAATATAAACAGAACTTAGGATAGTTAAAATATTTAATAAAACGAACATGAGAGAGATAGCAAATTCAGCTTGAGATCAAATATTTGCATTATAATTTCTTAACATTAATCCCTTAGGTTAATTTGTGAAAGGGGACAATGCAACTCTTTTCCAAAACTGAACCGATTACTTCACATTACTTATTCAAGGAATAATTAATTCTTGGAATAGAGGTCCCAGTTTGATATGATTCGAATTATTACTTGCTTTTATACATTTTGTAGAAATGCACTCACAACAAAAGTTAAAATTATGAGCGAGATAAACTGTTAAAAACACAGAATATTGCCATCAGGACAATTACAAACCCAACATATCTAAGTTTTAATGCAATTATTTTTGCCCTAAAAGTCTTTGAAAAGTCATACTTAGTACAAATCAGTTAAGGATGGTGATACTGTTCAACCAAGCAGTTGAACAAATCTTAATTTGTATATATTTTTTATCATGCAGAATACATTTATGTGTACGGCTAACTATACAATAAAAATAAGTATGATTTAAACAAAGAATGATAATGTGAAACAAATCAATAGTAGTCATTAACAAACAGTTCTTATATAAAAAAATCTTTTATTAACAATAGTGATATACAAGCTTCTCTGAGAGTGCCTGTTATTCTGAGATGAAATGACAAGTGATATAAGTAAGCAATGAATTTAAAAGCGATGACAACTGTTCTTTAATAAACCATAAACCAAACCAGGAACCGTCTATAATGCTTCTTTAATTTTTACAATTAAATTTTTTTTTCAAAAATAATGTTTATTTAAAATGAAAAGAACAATCATACATAGCATAAAAATGCATAGTTTGCTCTCAGAATAAATAAAGTTTAAGGGTTACATTACTAAATTTGAGAGATAGGTAAATAAATAGCACTTGTTAGACATGATTATACTATTTTATAATTTCAAATGGATCACACAAAAACAATATGATATATTACAAATGCAGTAGTAAAGAAAAAGAAATATGCTTATAAAATTATAGTTCAACTTTAAGAATGTCTCTGAATTGATAGCAAAAAGGATCCTGACAAGGCTTGTGGGTTTAGACTAAGAGGCACAACTCCAAAATGAGTAACAATGAATGAAACCCATTTCTTTCATTTGGTCTCAGGCATTTGCTTTTATGTTTTACCCTTTAGATACATATTTTGAAAATGGTAAAACATAAAAGATGAATGATATAAAGTATGCTGTACATTTTATCACTCTATATGTTAGGATGAACAGATGAAGCAATGTTGGAAAGTTCTTTTTTTTTTTTCAATCTTCATCTCCATCATCACCATCTCTTTTCCGTTTCTGACCTTTACCGGCATCTAAAAAATTATAAGAGCATTTAGAAATATTTTTATTCAAATAAATAACTTTCAATTTGTTTGAAATCAAGGACCTACATTATCAAAACTAAATATGTATAATATACGCAAAGGTTACTTGCAGAAAATTTGTTACAATCAGGGAAAATTTAATATTACTGGCTGAAATTCGAGAGACAAAGGTGAAAAAAAGCGGAAATCTGCTAAAAAGCAGAAAAATCTCATCCCCGATAGCTCAAGATAATAGCGGATTCCGGCACAATTTCAAATGGTAATAATGGCAAAATCCACAAATCAATATATTTAAATGAGAGGATTTCGATTGATTAGTGGAAGAATCACAGGTATGAAAAAGTCTCGTTAACGTGATGTGGCGAAAGTTTCAAAATGTAAACTCTGAAAATTTTACCAGATTATCAGCTTTTCTTAAAATAATTAATTTGCGGAAGTCCTAGGAAAAAAATCACATGATCTGCTCCTACTTTATAGACCAAGAAGGATGGTACAGAAAACATTGAATTCTGGGGGTACACCCAGAATTTCACAAAACAGCTCCAAAAGATAATATATGTTTCAAAATTAATTTTAATAAATAATTTACTTATCTACAAGAAGATTAAATACTATGTCTGTTTATTCAATTTGTCAAATTTCTCAATTTGTAATAATTGTTCTAAAATATGATAGCCCAATGTTTAACTTGAGAAACATTTACTATTTAAGAAATAAAAGTATCATTAGAGGATGCCTTCCTAATGAGAGAGAATTGAGAATGAATTGCATATTCTTTTCAAGCACATTGTTTGAGGTGAACTTCATGAAAATAAAAGCTATGGTTCAATTGGGGGGGGGGACACTGTGTTAAAAGATTTAGTAATTTTAAATTTCAAGAAATAGCCATTTCAATTTTTAACACAGATATCTGTTTCTAAATTGAGAGTACAACTTTTACTAACTGTAAATTCCAGTATATTTTGCATACGGTACTTGAATGTAAAATTTATAAATGACTTGCAAAATTATTGATATTTTTTTTAAAAAAAAATAATAAGGAACAACCATGAAAACTAACCATTTTTTTACAACCATGCAAAAAATTCGACACATTGATTAGAAATTTAACTTACTCATATCCTCTTCTTCATCTTCTGCATTAAATTCATTACCTTCACTATCCTCCTAAAATAAAATAAAAATATTTTAAATAATATTAAATGATAAGTCACAATGAAGGAGGGGAGGTATCACCCATAATCAAAATCAGCCCTTTCTTTAAATCAATGGCCATTCTCATTTGACTATAAATATATAACACCCTACCTACAAAGCTTAGCGTAACATTAATACTACGAAATCGAAAACTCAATAGATTGTTTATGTGACATTCAATGCTAATTTCAAATATATTAATTTCAGAACAATTTTCTTAATAAAATTATGTCTGTCTGTTTAAAATCCAGAACATTACAATTGTAATAGATTATTTCTTGTTAAAAATATTACAATATATAAACAAATATTTTCAACAATTATAATATATATAAAATTATTTGTTTATGAAAATATTTATAGAATTGAAAGAAAGGTGCAAAAAATCCCTTCACACAAAGAGACAAAAGGGGAAAAATACCTACACTTTAACAGTTAAGCTAGTTGAGCATATTGTACAAAAACTATACAGTCAAGCAAAATTTCTTCATAGAAAAACAGGAGAGATAAATTTAACCTTTTAACTTTCAAGCACAAACAAACTGCCCTCAACTAACTAATTGGCACCACCGGATGGGTGACTTCGGCTCAAGCAGACCATACTACGAGGGTTGTAATAGTGGCAACTTAACCTTGAAACTCAGAGAAGGACGGGCATGCTCAAATAGGATATGGGAGCAGTGAGGTGGCGCTGTTGACGGTATGGAGAGTGCAAAAAACAGTCGATCTGCTTAGAAGGGTAGTTGTTATGTGAAGTTAAAGTGAGGTCTAAAGCATGTTTTCAAAATGCTTCATGACAAAAAAAGACGAGATGCTTGAACCCATCGTGCTACTGTCATATACGGTAAAGGATTTGCTCCACAGGCTTCCAATAATCCTTGAGAGCATTCTATTGTATTTTTGCCACGGACAACCTTAATTTTAAGCCGCGACCGCTGATCACCTTTTGAAAACATGCTTTAGAGTGATGGAAACGAAACTCTTCACTTTAACGCCACACAACAACTACCCTTCTCGTCAGATTGACTGTTGTGCACTATACACCAGGGTTCATGATTTTTTTGGAAAAAAAATCAAAAGAATCAGATTTTTTTGATTTTAATTCAAATACACTGTATGGACTTTAATTTATGATTAAAAAAAATTAAAAATGTTTAATCAAATTAACTTAATATTAAAACTATATTGTAACAATACTTTCAGGGTTCCCACTCTATGATGAGATTGAAATTCAAGGACTTTCCAGGACTTTTCAAGGATCAACAAAATTTTCAAGGACCTTAATCTAAGACCAATTTTAAAAATTATTCTCTTCTATTTTACTAGAAGCAACAATGCTTGTTGTGGCAATAATTAATTTCAAATATAATACCTAAATGCTTTGCCTATATAGAGAGAAGAGAGTATATGTATTATGGACTAAAATTTAT